TCCTAAGCTGTGCTTATGTATGATTCTGGTTGCACTACATACCAAAATGTTGAAGTCTTGGGTGCCCCGTGGTGCTCGCTTCCCGCTTGTGGAAGTAGAGACCTTTCAATTCAAGGAACAAAGACGTCGTTTTTCAATTGAGGAGTATTGTGAGGTTTTGGGGGTGAGGGTGAGTTGCCGCTTTCAAGAACTGAGGCGGCCGGAGCACTTGCAGGAGACGCTGAGTCTTCTGGGCTCTGTCCTCGCGGGGGACCGCGTCTCGGAGGCTAGCGTCAGAAGTCACGTTGGTTCCTTTGGCGACCGAAGTGGCGACGCAGTTGGGCAGTTGGGGCCGTCTAGGCAACTTCCAATCAAAGGAGGTTCATATATTTATTTTATTATGAACGAAGATATCATGAAATAAATAACAATATGAAACCAAAAAGACAAATATCTGGCATAAAAGCTATTATTATCTTATCTTTCTGTGTCTATCATTAAATCGTCAAAGAAGCATTTTACAGCTATTGGTCATCTCTTTTACATTTCTTTTCCTTTTCTATCTTGTTTGGATTATGAGATGCTTTTATTAGAGTTTATTATTTACTGTTCTGTCTTTCTTTTTATTAATTATTTCTTTATGTTGTTTGTATTAAAATGTGATTTCTTTTATTATTTTTATATTCCCCCCAGCGTCGTAAACGGGGGATCAATTGCCCCCAGTCCTGCGCTATTTGGCTCAACTTGATTGGCCCAGATGAGCCCCTTTTATGACCTGTGATAACCCGCACAGGCACACTTGAGGTTCCATGCAGTTTTGGCCTGACCCACTGGAATGAAGGACAGATCAGGGTTTGACTGATTTGAACACATGCAGAGATATGAAGTCACTCCTGATGTTTTAATTCAGTTTGTTTGTCGTACTCCTTTTGTGATCACGTTCAGCCATGACACATCCTTACATGCCTACACCGTGATGAGCGTGCAACAAATTGGCTTTGCGGCAAACATACTTTGAGCAGTTTGACCTTTGAAAGCCTGGCACAGTTTGAGTGCTGAAGCTTTTGTTTGGGCCGCCAGCTGGAGAGATGATTTGACTTATCGATGCCCAACATAAGCAAGCAGGATAAACCATACGCAACTCGTTTTGTTCACGATTTAAAGAAACGGTTTTGGTTTGTGGGTCAAATCTAGGATCCAGCCCTGGGTGCGGATTGAAAAGGAACCGGCATGAACACTGCGATAGAGCCTTTACATATTTGATCCTGGGCTGTCCTCAGGATTGGGGGATGGTTGGTTGGTTGGTTGGTTGGTTGGTTGGTTGGTTGGTTGGTTGGTTGGTTGGTTGGTTGGTTGGTTGGTTGGTTGGTTGGTTGGTTGGTTGGTTGGTTGGTTGGTTGTGGGAAAACTGATGCCACGAAAGCGCCAGCCCCCAAAGCCAAGCCAAAAACGCACTACATCGAATCTCAAAACCACAAAGAGCCTTCGGATCTTGGGGAGTGCTCTGTAGCCATTTTTCGCGCCAGGACGGCTCAGAGCTGGTGCCGGAGGAAGCTCTGCGGGTCCAGGCGCTCTCTCTGCTCGAGGCTTTGGCATCCTCGCCCCTCGGGCTGAAGGCTTGTATTTTTAAAACAAAGAGAAAGAGGACATATCAGAAAGGTGTTGTTTTTTAATAACAATCACGATGGTATGGAGTAGCGCGATGGTATGGAGTAGCGCGATGCTACTCGGACAGTATCAGGCGTGGCCGGGCAATGAAAGTTGGGGTGGTTCAGATCATCCCAGGTCCCACTGGTACTGCTCGCGCCGCTGTGGAGACCACAACAAGTCCGGCTATAAAACCCACATTGGGTGTTTATTTTCTTTAATCAATAGCACGCAAATCGTATTTTTGATGTTTTTTTGGTACAAACCCAATGCATGCCTCAGGGAGTTCTGTTTCTTGGTGGCAAGCCCAGCCATCCGGTTCCTTGTAGTTGTTTAGCCTTTTTAGCTGGTCTAGCGGTTAGCCCACCAAAAGTTTGTCACTTTTGGCGGGTGATCTGAGGACAGCCCTGTTTTCTGGTCCAGTTTCTGGAGAATACCGGTTTAAAGGTTGGATTCATGAAAATCCAGAGAATCACCTTTTATTTGGTCTTAGCCTCGCCAACAAGGGAAGTGCAAAAAACACCCCCCGATTAGAAGTATACATTCCTTTCCAAAGGAAAAGTGGTGTGGGACAACGCCATGCTTGTTGCGAGGGCAATCCTTGTGCCAGATGGTTGGGTTTTTACAATTTCGCTTCACTCACATAAATCAGGCAACCCTTTGTTGCTGGTTTGGATTGGTGGTTTGGAGATTTGAACCCATGGCTTTATAGAGGGTAAATGGGACCGAAAGCCGAGGGAAGCTGAATACAGCCACAGCTCTAAGAGGCTTGGTCTCCCATCGAACACTGCCCCCACTGCGTCGAGAGATCGCATAGGCCTTTGCGCCCGCAGATGGTCGGCAGCATGGGCGTCCTGCTGCGGGACCTGCTGCGAGGCAATCGAACCTTTGGCCGTTGCCATGACACCCCGGAAAAAGAGGAAACCACACGTACACACACCACATGCACACACACACACACACCACATGCACACACACACAACACACACACACACACAACACAACACACAACACAAACAGACACACACACACAACACACAACACACACACACAACACAAACAGACACACACGCACACACACACCAACCACACCACAACGTAACACAACACACCACAACACAACGCAACACAACACACCACAACACAATACAACGCAACGCAACACAACACAACACAGCACACACACACACACAACACAGGCGCAACACACACACACACACCACACACACACACAACACACACCACACACACACTCACAGCACACACACACAACACACACACACACACCACACACACACAACACACACAACACATACAACGCACGCAACAGACACACACCACACACCCACACACCCACACACCCACTCACACAACACGCGACACGCACCACACACACACAACTCGCAGCACACACACACACACAAGGCGCGCAGCACTCAACACACACACACACATCACCATGGAAGCATGAAGGATGTTTGACACAAAGGAAAATACCTTCCACAAGTCATGGGAAATCCGTAAAGAAACGGTTTGGGTGGTTGAACTTGCCGGTTCGATAGGCAGGGAATGAGGGCATGAATTTCTATAAGCCAGCCAACGTGTGGTTTCCTTTAAGGGGACCCCCTTCCGGTTCATTCCCAACACCCGAACTCCGTCATTCGCTACCTATCGCAGCAGCAAGTTAAGCTAAGCAGTTCCATTGTCGCCTGGGGCCCTGACAGCTTGATTCCTTCTTGTTCCCGGTCACTCCATGTTACTTGGCTGCTACTGGGTTGGATCTTTAGACTTTAACTTTTTGGGAAAACAAGGGGCTTTCCACAAAGACCGCAAAAAGTGACGCTTTTTGCAGAGGGGTCAACAGCAACCAAAGCTATTCTCCCTCATTTGTTGGGGAATATGTGAGGGGTTCCTCAAAAGGTCTTTCCATAGGATGACCATCAGAGAAACCACAAACAAGTAACTTTCACCCGCTGAATGGGAAAAAGTTACCCATCAACCAGGAATGCTGATCAACACCCATGTGTGTGTGGCTCAAAATCAAGCAGCTGGCTCTGGTTAAGCAGGTTTTTGCTTTGCTTCCACTTTTGTGTACCATTTCTTGAGAGCCATGTCAAGCTTTTGCGGGGTCTCTGTATTTTTCACACAAGGGCAGGGAGACGGCACGCCTGACACGCAGGGCGGTCTTAGGACATGGCGCGTGCTGCAGGTCCGTCAAGGATTTGTCCAGTTGCAAGATGTCGTGACGGACGAGAATGCCTGGCGACACGGCTCGCCCCTGAAGCTCATGCCGCTGGCTGCGGCGGCAGACAACCGGAACGTGACAGGGACACCGCCGAGACTCGCGCCTGCAGAGCTGATGCCTGCTTGGGACAGCGTCCCTGCTGCCAAGGATGGGGCCTGCTTGTTCCGGACGTTGTCTATGGGTTGCCAGGCTGCTCGCGGCGCCACAGCTGCTGCTTTCGATGCAGCAGCATTGGCGGCGAAACCCTGCTCGGACGTGGATGGAGTGTCATGCAGACAACGCCAAGAACGATGACCTGATCTCCCTCCAGATGGAGGCCGAGATACTAGGTGACCCGCTGTGGGTGCAGGACCGTGCTGCTCACGCGTGGTCGTGGCCGGACTATTTCGCGTTCATGTCCCGCCCAGGAGTGTTATGGCGCAGCCGTGCACCTGCAGACTTTCGTGGAAACCCACAAGATGGCGATCGAGGTATGGGAGAAGATCGCCCCCCATGGCAGTGTCACGTGCACATGGCGCGAGGCCGAAGCCTTCAAGCTGCCGTTACGATCTTCTCATCCTTCGGAGACGGTTGCGGCCGAAGACAGGCTGCAAGCGATAGCCGGAGCAAGTGTAAAAAAACTTTCGCGCTAGGTTTTTGTCAAAGAGGTCCGGGTTCTTTCGGTAAAACAGCCAGCCTTATCACACGAGCCAACTTGCACGAGCCAACTAGCATGATAAAGATCGCACGAGACATGGGGACACGAAAGTAATTAGTTAGTCTCTTCAGGCGGAGCATTGGACCAAGCCCACTCTGCGAAAATGACACCCTCTGCAGGGAACTGGCATGGTCGATGTGCAAAAACTGACGACTGTTTAGCGTGGCGCGCGGAAAAACTTTTATCGTGGACGACGCGCAAAACCGTTTATGCTTTCAAAGTTTCCCGCGCGACCCTCTGCGGGGCTTGGCGTGGGCGATCGCACGAAGCGCAAGTAAAATGCGGAGAGTCAGAGACCTTGCTCAGAGTCAGAGAACTTGCTCACAGAAGCATGTTCCGAGCTTGCGCGGCACACTTGCGCAGAGTGCTTGAGCATCGCAACTTGCACAGAGCACTTGCACGCGCATCGCAACTTGCTCTGAACCCCAGCGCTAATAAGCTCTACGCGCAGCCGCGCCACGGGCTATAAAAATCTGCAGCTGCCGTGAAAAGGGACGCAAACACACACACATGAAACCAAAATAGAACATGAGCTTGTGGTAGCAATACTGATCACGAAACATTTTTGGCACATGGGTCTCCTGCTCTTCTCGCAAGACCGCATTTGACAGGTGGTTGTTGGTCTGACCCCAAGAACCCGGCTTTTTTGTCCTAGAAAAGAAAAAACTTGCTCAGCTCAAATTGTGGAGTCCTGGTAGAAGGACTGATCCCCCCCCTTGCGCCCGCAGCCTTTCCAGGCAGTGGCTGGTCATCTTCAACTCCGTTGGCCCGTGGCCGGGTGCGCACCACGCTGAAAGTGTGTCCTGGACGGAGATGCGGAGACGAGGTGATTTCTTGAGTTGCACGGAGGGTGCAGGGAGCAGTCTGGGGATGTCTGGGGCCAAAGGTACAAGCATGACTCGTGATTGAAACGTGCGTTTTAATCCGTACCCTTCCTCTCTGGTCCTGTTCTGTTTTCCTTCCGACCCTCTCCAACCGGGCTAGGTATGCATCGTGTATCCGATCATGGCATGACATCTGGGGTCTCCAAGCATATTTTTGGGCTACACTGAAAATATTATTCTCTGTGTAGCCCAAATGTGGGCCAGGACATGACGTCCAAATCGGGGGTTTGATGAATGCCCTTTGATTGGCGCGGTCACTCTGCTAAATCCGAAGTGCACACTAGTTTGGTGTTTTTCCAAAAGCATGAGCCCCTAAATACGTTGGTTCTCTAGCTTCCTAAGCCAAAAGTGAGTTGCCAATTTTAGGAACCCCAGTGTTGTTCTGAGGTTGGGATCAAACGCAATTAGATAGTTGTCACTTCATTAATTGTTTCCACCAATATTTAATAATCGTAGTAGTAGTAATTAAGCAATTGCTAGTAAGGATAAGAACAGGAATAACTACAACAACAATAACAACAAGCACGGCAATAGTAATAGCAATAGGAAGAGTAGTAGCAATAGTAATACTAATTATCATAACTATCATACTTATCAATAATGGCACTAGTACTAATAATAGTAATCATAAGCAACATATATATATATATATACATCCGTGGTTCCATGTTTTTTCTCCAGCAGGACAACTTCCATTCGAGCCCAACCGGGGTGAACTGAGATCCATCTGGTCGCTTTGCCGAGTGAGGCTGCAGGGCATGGACGGCGCCGCCTTCCGCGCGGCGGCTGGGGACTTGCAGCTCGGACTTCTGGAAGAAAATCTCCGCGGCTTCCGACTCCGATTGGTCAAAGTTTTCCAGGGCCGCAAGGCGAGTCTCACACAAATTAGTTGACCCAACCAATTTTCACCCCCCTTCTCCACCTGGTTTTTTTTACACCGCAAATGACCCCCTTCTCCACCAAGTGGTCAAGGTCCCCCAGCTAGGTGCCCTTTCTCACCCGCTTGTTTGGTTGGGAGGGTTCCCTTACGAAAATAGACCACCGAAAAAGTTGGTACCGTTATTCTGACCTCTCCGCTGGAGGACCTAGCGGTGGTTTGGATTTGGATGTGAACCCCTGAATCTTGCAGAGGGCACATGGGAAACTAGGGGGAAGCTGAAATATGGCTATGGGTGTCTGCGTTTGTGACATTTCTCTGACCCTTTTCTGTGATTTGCTTAGGAATCTGCGTCGATTTCGCCCGTCGGTTCTCAAAAGAATCGACTTAACTACGGGACATCTGTTTTTTTCTCTCCCCACTTTTCCAAAAAAAGAAGCACTTCTCAGCAACTGGGGGCCATTTTTTAAGAACTTGGCCTGCGGAAGCCTCCAAATTATCGGTCGGGGCTTCGGTGGAGAAGGAGGAGCCGAAGTGAGGCCAAACAAAAAAACAAGAAATTCACAAAGTTCACCAAAGTTCAAAATAAATTCACAAAGTTCACCAACGTTCACATATAGGTCGCCAATTCTCTGAGGTTAAAAAAACTGAGACCCGGCATCACGTATACACGTGATGTCGCGAAGTAGGATGGGAACCCAAGCGGATTTGGTATGAGAAGATCTCCCAATGGACGGGGACCAAGCAGTCCTAAAGCAGCGGATTTGGGTTTGCTTCAAAAACGGGGGGGGGGGAGTCTCAGAAAAGGTGAGCCGGTGCTTCCCGGTTGCTTTCCTGCCAAAACCATGGAAGGAGCCCAGCATGAGCTCCGGGAGTTTTTTCAAACCAAGCTTTGGGTCTGCACCTGTTCAGCGATTGAACTTTCGAAAGGGCGTCCAAAGCGGTCAAGCAGAGGTCAAGAGTCTAATGCAAGGCTTTCTGGTCCAGCCAAGAACTCAAGCTCAATGTTCAATGAGATACCGAGCCTCTAGGAAAAGAAGGGAAGTGATTTTTTATAGTTGTCCCGTGGTTTCCATACAGGAAAGAGTTGTCCGGTCTTCGGCTGCCCAAGTCTACAAGAAAACCAAATGAGCAGTCAATGGTGAGACCTTGAAAGCACCACCAGTCACTTCCTATCCAATGACATCTCTGCGACTCACAATACTTTTGTGTGAAACGACGAACGCCTTTTGGGATGGTATTGAGGGAAGCCTTCCCAACAGGACATGAGCTGTAAGGGCCTAACGTTTAAGGGGCCCCTGCCTGGCAAGCGCGAAGTCTCAGGCATCCAGCGCAGTTCCAAGTTCTCTCGGCGATGCTGCCAGAGATGCAGCCCAAAGCCAAGGCGCGAACCGAACGCGCGCGCGAACTCGGTGCCAGTGAGTTGTGATCCTCAGAGACTAGGTCCCCCAGCGAAAGGGTGCCCGACCTCTCACCGATTCCTTGGGTTGGGAGGGTTCCCCTACTAAGAAAAGTAGAAGTGCTCGAAGAATGAGGCAACATATGCATGAGTGCTAGAGGCTGTTCCCATGGGAGATTTTTTTTTCGGCACCAGTTGCCCAGCAGCACCTTTGATCTCTTTCATTTGTGGCTTCCCCCTTCAACCCCCCCTTTCCCGGGAAGTGTTTGTTCGGCCTGAGCAAGCTCGCCTGAAGCTTTTGAAACAGCTCTCGTCCAGGCATCCGGAGCGATGCAGGATTTGGCAGCGCAGGCGCTGTGCGATTGGGAGAAGCAAGGCAGGGGGGGGGGGGAAGGGGACGGGCAGCCGCGACAGCCATAGGGCCATGTTGCACCCTGTCAAGTGGACCCAAACTGCTGCTTGGAATATTCAACCAACCAGCAGTTTCAATATTACTGGCTAGGGGGGCACACACAATCACAATCTTGGCGACTTGTGCCAGTATTGTTGGCAGGTGGAGCAAGTTCTCTCCCCATCCCCAACGAAGGGTCATGGTATTCCCATACGTTCCTTTGCATTATGTACAGAACTGTTTCAAGGATCCCTAACCAAGCAAACCGTGTCTTTCCATTCTGAATCTATGCCCACCTTCGGATCACCTGGTCAGCCTGGTCCTTGTTGATTCTCAAAATGGTGAAGCCTCTTTTAGATGGTATTTCAAGAAAAACCAACAGGAGACTCACCTTTTGTGGGACCCCTATTTTCACAACCCCCGAGAAGATGTGGCCATGGGGCATAACCTATGGCTCCAGTTTGGGGTGGATGAACATTCATTTGCGACCGATTTTGATGTTCACCAGGGGTACAGGGTTGTGACCCCCAGAAGACATAAGTCCTGTTTGATTCGAATTCCAGCTGCCTGCTCAGGCAGCCGGGTCTTGTTCGTGGTGCTCAATGCCCTCACGCCAGAGGCTGTGGTTGCAAAAGCGATCGAAGGCGCTCTTAGGCAGAGAGGCCACTTCTTGTATAGTCTAGGTCCCCCAGTAGTGCCCTTTTCCCCTTTTCTGGGGAGGCCCACTAAAATAGACTACATTATTCTAACCTCTGTACTGGAGGACCCAGTAGTTGTTTGACCCCACATACCAAAGTTGCTTCGCACTAAGTGGCCCCTCCGAATGATAGGTTGACCACGTTCTTTACCTTTTAGCCCATCTACAAAGGGCAAAGAGCAACTCGATCCCAAAAGATTTGACTTGTTTCTGGGCATTGTGAGAAGTGTGAGCAAGCTTCGAGATAAGAGCGGTCATAGTCAACTTGGCATATGTCCCAGACACCCAGTGCCGATTTTCCTGTACCCTTTTTCCCTCGCCCCCCATGGCCGGGATGGTTCTTTCCATACTCCATTGAATTACTTCCAGTCAGAACAAGTGGGCCCGTGGTGTGGTTGTCCTGCACATGTTCTTCATTTGCTCTAGATCATTGTTTTGCGCTAGGTGGCAGGACGCTTTTTATAGCTGATAGATATTTCTTTCATTCTCGCTTCCCGAGTTCCTTTTGGCTTTCGTCACTTTTGGGGTTTAGACCATTTTCGTGGTAAACAAGAAGCTTGTCGCATGACATTTACAGGTCTTTCTGTCGGAGGCCTCATCCAGTTTCACATGGCACGCGCGGGTACGCTCAAAGCCGAACAGCTAAACAAGACGTTTGGGTACCTTTTTGGGTCATCCACTCGGTGGGAAGTGAGGATTCATGCAAAATAAATAATCAATGGCGGCTTGAGCTCTTCCATCCACCTGCCACCAAAACGATACACCGGCCACCAACGCACCCAATAATCCACTAAGTTATCCAAGTGCCGAGCACACAATGTAGGTGCTTATGGGCAACAGTTCTTGGCCTTGGTGCAAGAAAAAACTTCCCGCGCAGGCGCTGGAGGAGACCCGAACTGCAGCCATGGCGTGCCTCCAGGACGTGCCAGCCACGGGCATTGGAAGTGATAAATTGTTTGTCCAAAGCGAAGCGACCTGTTGAACTCAGGACGGTCGTGAGCGGGTTGTTTTCCAAAAATCGGAAGACACACTTGTTGGGTACAAAAACACCCCGCTCACGAAAGTCCTTATTTTCAACTTTGGTTTTCCCATGATCCATTTTGCGGCATGGCCCCAAAAGGTGATCACCTTCGATTTCCAGGTCCTTTGCGCAAGTGATAAATAGCTGTGAGTTTGAATGGGGGGCCCCCAAAGCATTGGGGTGGTTCCCAGCAAATCGTTCGCTTCCTTGGTTGGTTTTAGTTGTTTCTAGTTGGTTTAGTGGTGGGGGGTTTCCATTTGACAACCGCAAGGTGCCCAGCAAAATTGCTGTTTCCTGGTGGTTTGCCTTTAAAAGGAAAAGGGGTATACCAACTCCAAGAGGCACATGCCCGTATGATTTTTGAACGGGTCCCAGAATTTCAGTGGGGATTCAGAGTCCACCACTTTCAGGTCGTCCCGTCTCTCAAATTTGTGCAGCAACTGAAAAAAAATCGCTGCTTGAGATTTCCGGACTGGGATGGATTCCACTGGTTTCACCTTGGCTCTCGATTCTGTGGGGGAGGGCCGTGGTCCACATGATTTTCCAGCAAAAGTTGAGGGGCCCGCCCCAGTGTCCCACGTCACGTTTGAGGAAAAAAGGTGCGTTGCTCAAATGAGCCACAAAACAAGCCTGAGTAAGTGCAGTCGCTCTTTGATTCTGCACACACTCGCCGGGTCCGACCCTTTCTCCAAACCAAGTTTTGGTGTCCAATCGTGACCCGACCAAAGCGGGGGGCTTGGTGCTTCGACCCTCCGAAGGTCTCGCCGATCGACAGGACCTGCTCCAACACCCTGGCTGCGCCGACTTTGCGGAGGCGGGAAGTGCCAGCGCCAGGCGTTGAGAAACAGCCGTGAGACGCGGGCAGTGAGCATACATAGGTGTCCTTGTTGGTTGATTTGGTTGAACAATAGAGGGCCCTGGTTTACCTGGTGGTTCAATCAACTACCAGGGCCATCAATTTTCCCAAAAAGGACACCTATGACAGTGAGTGTTTTTGGCCGTTGGAAAAGCACCAAAGGTCAACTAGGTCCCCCAGCTAGGTGCCCTTTTACCCTCACCCCTTTTTTTTGGTTGGGAGGGTTCCCTTGCTAAAATAGACTACAGAAAAAAAAGGCACCCTTATTCTAACCTACTGGAGGACCTAGTCAAGATATTTGGTAAATACCCTCCCATCCAATAACATGGAACCTGACTGATGGGCCCTGGAAGACTATTTTCCTTTAAAAGGGACCCTCTGTTGGGTTCCATGTTAGTGGACAGGAGGGTATGTGTTGTTTTACCCTCAGAAGAGGGGACATGTTTCTTTCAGAGTTTGCTTCTTGACCCTGCCTTTTGGCTGAACATTCGACATCTCCTGAGGTAGAACTCCCTACCCTCGCCGGCTGAGTTTCCCAAATTTGGGGGCCCGAAACCTCTTTGGCTAGTTTTCCCAGGGAGACTGCAAACCAACCAATTTTGGGTAGAGACATCGGAAAAAAAAATAAAAGGGGACAATTGGCTGTCTTGCTAGCCAGCAAACAGGTTCTGCGAAGTCTGAGAGTTGCGCTGCAACAAAGTTGGGCCACTGGCGGGTCTGTCGGTCCATCACGCATCGAGCCCGCACATGCACGGCGCCGAAACACCCAGACTCCATGGAATTGAGCGAAACCAAGATCACCCAGGCGCCTCACAAATAGCAGGTTTTCCGAATCTCAGCGTGGCTTCAATTGCTTTTACGGCGTGGATTGACACAGCATACGGCATACGGCAGGTTTGAAGCACCGCGGGATCGCCCTGTTGCCAGACACCGAGGTCGGAGCCGAGATGGTGGTGCTCCTCGCTCTGGCCAGCTGTGTTGCCTTTGAAGCATGTGAAGGGAACGGCTCAGCGTTTCTGTGTGTCTTGCGTCACACTCTGAAGCCTTAGACAGAGCAATGCGTAGCAGCGCTGCGGATCAGCTGATCAGCCCATGGCTTCACCGCTGGCGAGACGGATGGGGCTTCTCGCCTAGAGGCCTAGAGGACAGCGCCAGCTCAGCACAGGCGCAACTTGACAGCGAAATAGTTGTGACAACTCACACAACTTGACCCGACTACTTGGGGACATCGAGCCATTCCTGGCCCTATATGGCTGTGGGTCAAAACCAATTGGTACCATTTTGGGGTAGGTGCACCACCCAGTTTAGAACCTTTTTTAGTGGGGATTGGGATGTTCACTGGGGGTACGACTTGGATTTTGACCCATGGCCATGCCTTCACTTTGGAAAGAGCCAAAGAGCTGCTTTCGGACACAGACTTTCAGCAGTCCAGCTTTCGGAGAAGCGAACACCTACACGCACAGGCAAACGCACAAGCAGCGCAAGCAGCGCAAGCAGCGCTTGTGAGAGTTGTTTCTTGGCAAGAAAGACTGAGGTGGGAATATGGCCAAGGACGAAGTCTGCGTGCTGTGGGTTGCTGCTTTCAGCTCAAAGTGAAGCTAAAACGTGGGTAGTTCTTGTTCCGAGCTTGTTGGCGTAAAGCATGCTCTGAGATGATTGTGCAAACGCCCACGTCTCCTCGACCAAGCGATCGCCAGACTTGACGTGCCGAAAGTGGCCTGCACGCCCATCGCGCGGAATGATTCTGTCGGCGATTTTGGCTACGCGGTGCAGAGACTCAAAGCATTCCATTGGGCCTTGTGCCATGGAGCCTTCCAATGAGACGTTGCCTTGATGTGTTCACAGGAGGCGCCAGACCTGCTGGCAGTGCTGCGACTGAGGGGCAGCTCGGGCGCGACAGTTTCAATGGGCCCAAAGACGCCCCAGTGCGACCCACCACCTATCAAAGGAATTGACTTTGTGAAGCCACGAAGCGCAAAAGTCGTTGTGCTTGCGGACTTGTGCTCAAACATAGCAAGCGGTGCCTGCTGAGCTTGCTGAAGTGAACAAGCGCGTGAACGAGGGCCCCTTCCAAGGTGTTGCACGTGCGCAATGCATGAAGCTCGTCAGCACCAATTGGCGGGCTTTGTCTCTGATGGAGCTCGGCTTTGTGCAGCTGCCGTAGAACAGGCAGGCCTTCGCGCGAAATGAAAGGAGGCGGCAGGCCTGTTGGCTATGCTTCCGTGCCAGTGACTTTCCTTTCCGACATCCGCCCATGCAGACTGGAATAGAGAGAGAGAGAGATAGATAGATAGATAGAACTGCATCCACCATTGCCCATAGATACATGTCAAGCGACTGCAATGTCTAGTGCATGTGACGCAAAGGTTGATGCCTGGATTCTGCACAGCACACGCAACACTCGTTTTTCTCTACGTAGTCACGGACTGATGCACACGTTGTCTTGGTCAGTTGCCCTGGCCTTTGCAGAGGTGTGAGCATCCAGAAAGGCATGACAGAGCATGCCTATATGGGGCAGCGCTAGCCTGCCAGCCCAAGACGGAATGCCCGGCTGAAGCTGTACTTGACACGCCTCTCCGACCCTACTTGCGATTGATGAGGGCCGGCTCGGGCAGGACAGTTTCAATTTGCCCAACGCTGCTCCATTGCGACCCATGAAAGGCCACAGCGGGAGCCACGAAGCGCAATTCGACTCGTCAGGCGGTGCCCGCGGAGCTTGCTGAAGTGGAAACGCGCTTGGCGTTGACTCTAAAGTCCCAGAGGCAGCGTGGAGTCCATGTTGAGCAGCTGCCTGGTGGGCAGTTCGCTTGGCTTTACAGCCGGGTCCCAGACCTCAAGTGAATCGCATTACCAAGCGGCCTCAAGCAGAAGTCTTTGGAGGATGCAGGTCTTGCAGCTGCTGTCTCACTGGCTGCCACTTGCGTAGACGTGTCTCAAACGCCATCCACGTGCCCGCTTGACCCTGGTGAAGTCAGCTCCCAGATCGCGTCTTAGGCCCGGCTGGATACTCCTGGACCCTGATAGTCAGCGATCGCTGCAAATTGAAGTGGTTTCGACCTATGCAGAAGGTCCGCCGCGTGCGTTGTGGCAAAAACGAAGTGCGGCGGCTCATTCTGACAAAGACTTGCCTGCGGGATGACACCTGGCTTTGCCTGCCAACTGGTTCGTTTCCACCAGCGAAGGGTGTGCTCTCGGGATATGGAGCTTTCAAATCCGATGCGCCCAGCTGGCATCTTCCGATGCCACTTCTCAGCGTCTGAAATTCAGCTGTAGGAGGCTTCTGACCCATGAAGCTCATAACTCCCCGCCCCCAGAAGACTCAGTCGCCTTCAGGTCTTGGCCTCCAAGCTCTTCGACTGCCTGCGCTCGGACCGCAAGGTGCTCCGCGCGGGCCTCGGAACCCGGAGCGAGGAAGCGAACGTCGAGCCAAGGGTTTTGGGCCCTTTGGGTACCGGGGTGTCATGACTTGGGCATTTGTGTTGTTTGTTTTTTCAAAACAAAGCAGCAATTTGGGTTTTTTTGTTGTTCCTTTGCAAAAATGAAGCACTACCATTGGGGGTGCGACATGGTGCGACTGTGGTAAAATCGTGAGGCGGGAGAAGTGCGGTGTTCATCCACTTTGTGTCTAGGTTGTTTTTGATGTTCGGCGCCATGGTTGGATGTTCCCTGAATGCGCAGATGGATTCAGAAGAGTGTTAATGAAGCGGCCCAAGGCTCTACTTTCGCTGGATGTATCCTTTCCAGGCAAGTCGTCTCCGAAGGTGAGTTACTCTTAGGTATTGGAGTTGCTGAGTAGCTGGGTAGTAAGGGTGCGAGTGGGAGGGGAACATCCTGGATAACCACTAAACAAGCAGCCGGATTGCTTTCCTTTGACAGCCGTCGGGTTGAAAGAGAAGGGGATCAGGACACTGCCAGCATGACTTGACGAGCATACGTCTCACGGAAGCTGCAGCAACATTCCCTCTTCACAGAACATCTTGCAGGCAGAACACGTTTGTTTGGAGGAAACCTGTTTGCAGCTTCCATGGACAGGCCACCCATGCTCCAGGGGCCCCAGGGCGTTTTCCTCAACCGCTCGAGCGCTTTCGCCCCAAGCGTCCGCTGAACGACAACGGCAAGGGACAGTTTAGTCCTTTAGGCCCAATCAATACATCATTTTCCCCCCTCAGTATGCTTCTCGATGGTATCCTAGTCACCTTTCTGTGATTTCAAGAGAGGCCTAAAACAACTATTAACATGGCCCCTACATCCCCTACGAACCCATTTTGAGCAGCGCCCAAACCCCCATTGGCAATTGTTGTCGCCGGTTCTATCTGATTTAATAGAGTTTTTTCCTAGATAAACCAAAGCCATTTAGATGTGGGTCAAAAACAGGTACCCAAAATGGAACCCAGGCAAATGGAAACAACTGCGGTCCCCTGGTAGGTTGATTTTGACCCATTCTCATTTGGGCACTGCTCCAAGTGGACCCCGACAAGGAAAGTGTTTAGGCTTGCTGGAGCGCCTGCTGGCCAACATCGAGCCTCTCCGTAGCCTGGAGATCCTATTGCCGGTGGCAACTCGACGAAACTCGGGGGTGGCTGTGGGTCAAAATTGAACTGGCTGTGGGTATGGGTATTGAACAGGAATGCATCATCCTGTGTTTTTTTTGCTGAGGGTCATGGCGACTCTAGGTAGACATATGGGTATGGGTCAAAATTGAATCACCAGGAATCGGACCGCAGGCTGAAATGTCCATGTTTGCTCTGACCAGGGCAACCCATTTTGGGGTTAGCCTATTTTTGACCCACAGCCGCATGGAGAGAAACCTGCGAGGGATCACGAACACCGAAGAAGCAAAAACAATCGAGACCCCGTACAAAGAACCCTTGGCTTGGAAAGGCGCTTGGGGTCTACGCGAATGGGTTGCTTCGGCGCTTGCCCGGAGGTTTGGCAATGGGCCTACTTGGTTGATAAGGACTCCTGGGTGAGCCAGATCACGGCTTATATAAGCTGACAACGTCCCTTTCAAAAGAGATATCCGGCTAGATTGCCGAAGAGGGTCATTCGAATCGAGCCGTGACCTTCAGACAGCAGGCGAGTAGAAAATCTGGCATCATGGAACAGAGGGGACGGACTGGCGGAAAGCTGCCCAAGCCAGTGATCATGTTTGTTTTCCCTGGTCGATTTACCGAGAGATGCTGCTTCATTCCTCCTGCGAACTACACGTGGTACTGGATGAAGCTTGAAGGGTTACGTGAACAGCACATGGTGTGAACAGATCAAAGGCCAAAGAGAGTTGTGTGTATGTGAGTTCTGTGTCAGTTGGAAAGGGACTAAGACCGAGTACCAAGGGTAGCCCTAGGCAAGGGGCTGAGAAAGGTTTCAGGTTCAGCCTTTGAGGGAACGATTTCAAAGGCCGTTCGGAAGGATCATTCTGCCCACCATACTTCGCCCTGGTGTCGCTGGCAATGGCTTTGCCCAGGTCGCCGAAATGGAGCCGGCTGCGATCCTGTTGTCGCAATGTCTTCAGCGCTTGACACCGAGGTGGGACGAGCCAGTGTCAACCGGTTCGGCAGTTGTATCAGGAACCCCCCCCAGCCACCCTCCCCAAATGAACAAGCACCAACCTTGCGCAGCGTGACGGGGAATAAGCCATATTAAGCCTTGTTAAGCCTTATTATTGAGCCGTGTCAAGCCTTATTCAGCCGTAACAATTCTTATTTACTGGTTTTCGAATGTGGCTTAATAAGGCTTAATAAGGCTCAATAAGGCCCAACAAGCCCTGTCATTTCGGCAGCCTAAAGGCCATGGTCACACCGCAACTGCTCTGCATGTGTAGCCGAATCTAGAGGCCCCCCCCCTCCAAAAGGGGTGAGAGCTGGCGCGGTCCCAAAAGAGGCCCCAGGCACGCGCCAGTATTCGCCCTACTATGTGCAACTGCGTGAACTTTTTGACGCACGTGACTGCTACGAGTGGAAACAAGTACTTGAGTTTGGGGGTTCCCATGCCAACCGTGTATTCCCTTTGAACTGGGGGGTGCCATCTCGTGGAAGCGTTTGAATAGGTTTCGGGTTGTGTCGCAGCGCGTTCGAAAGGCTAAGTGCAAAGATCGCACGCGTAGAAACGCTACAAGGCCAAGTGAAGAGTTCGTAGGCAGGCCCGGCGTTTTCGCAAGTTGCAGGGCAGATTTCGTCAGGCGCATCACTTTCGCAAGATCAGGTACCGATTTCGCGGCAGGTGCAGCACTTTCGCAAGATCAGTACGGATTTCGCACCAGGTGCAGCACTTCCGCAAGATCAGGTACGGATTTCACGGCAGGTGCAGCACTTTCGCGAGATCAGGTACGGATTTCGCGGCAGGTGCAGCACTTTCGCAAGATCAGGTACGGATTTCGCGGCAGGTGCAGCACTTTCGCAAGATCAGGTACGGATTTCGCGGCAGGTGCAGCACTTTCGCGAGATCAGGTACGGATTTCGCGGCAGTGCAGCACTTTCGCAAGATCAGGGACGGATTTCGCAGCAGGTGCAGCGCTTTCGCAAGATCAGGCACGGAATTTGCGGCAGGTGCAGCACTTTCGCAAGATCAGGTACGGATTTCGCGGCAGGCGCAGCACTTTCGCAAGGTCAGGTGCAGATTTTTCTTGGCGGGCACCGCACGTTCGCAAGGACAGGTACGCACTGCCTGGCAGGCTTAGTGGCAGGCGCAGCACTTTCGCGAGGTCAGGTACGATTTGCCTTGGCGGTCTTTCACGAGAGATAGGTAAGCTGATGGACGGAGAATTCGATAGATCAATAGACCCTCAGAGTGACATTACACAGATAGAATACAAATAAACAAAGTAGATGGAACTAGCCTTGGTACCTGTAAATAGATGGACAGAGGTAGATAGATAGAAAGTGGATAGATGGATAGATACATAGGTACACAGATAGATGAAGAGTTAGATAATCACATAGGTACAGAAATTGGAAAGAAAGCAAGAAAGAAACACAGACGGGTTGACAGATGGATACATAGCTAGATAGACAAACAGAACAATGGACAGATATCTTTCCTGGGTCCTTTCAAAAGACAGATGTATAGTTGTACGGATAGGTAGATCGATGTCTAGATAGTGAGATTAGACAGATGGATAAATAGAATGGCAGATGGAGAGAGTAGACAGATACATAGCCAGACGCACAGATCGATAAGTCGCGCTTCAGGAGGCTTGCAGCAACGCACTTATCGGCGTTGCCTGTGGGCAGCTCAAATCTGTGTACGGAGATTAGCCTTGCCAGATGGCGTCCGCCGGAGGCTTCTCTGATGTGCACGGAAAGAACAACAGCCGGCCGACAGCCACAGGCGCTGCGCGAGTGTGCCTCCACATATGGGCAAACTGGTGCGCACTGCTGTCGGCGGCACGCTATAAAATTTGATAGCTAGATGGATCTTCTGCGCGTGGTTTGGAAGCTCGGTGCCCTTCTTCTACGACGAGGGTCCAGCAAGTGAGTGCTGGCGGGTGGCGTTTGGCTTTGCAGCCCAGGCCCAGACATTGAAACGTTTCAGGTAAGACGCCAGCCACGTGGCTGCTGAGATCAGGCAAACTCTGAACTCGCCAAGCGATAAGGAGGCAGCCGTGTGACCGCGCCGCAGGCGCCTACTTTAGAGGTGCATTGGGGCACTCGTGCTGCTCGAGAGAGAAAGCGCCCGGTGACAATTGGGAGGGCTGAGCACGGGTTTGCCGAAGAATAAACAAGCATGTCTCGCGCAAGTGAAAAAGTGAAAGAGAAAAGGAAGGAATAGAGAACGAGAAGGGCCAAAAAGAGAAAACAAAAGACAGAGAAAGTGCAGTGAAACAGGCGACTGAAACAGGCGAGAATCCGAAAGAGAGAGAGAAGAAGAGGAAGGGAAAGAACAAGAGACACAGAAGGAAACAGAGAGAAAGAAAGGAAGAGGACATTTGGTCACATCCAATGGGTGCGAACTTGTTCTCCGGAAATCCAGCCACCGCTTGCGGCGTGATTCCGGCGTCAATCCGGCTTGCACCAAGTCAATGTCGACCAACTCCCCCACCCACCGAATGAGCGGAAAGCACATGGACATGGCCTGCAACGTCAAATCTGAGGTGACCGATCTTGGTCGTTCCTTAACCTGCTTGCTCGATGTTGCTTCCCACCATCCAAAAGAGGACCATCCAATAACATGTTGGAACGTCTCCGATGTTTTGGCCCTTTTCAAATTCGTGGACACCGAAGGCCGAAATACTGCCCGATTTTTTGCTTCGCTGGTTTCGATGCGGCGCAAAGCAACCTGGGTATGGGTCAACTTAAACTACCGGGAATCGGACCGCGGGTTTTAGCCCTTTCCATTTACCAGGGCAACCCATTTTGGGGTTAGCCTATTTTTGACCCACAGCCAGTTGCAAGGCAACAGTTGTTGGCTTTTTTCGGCGAGCTACTCAGGAAGTGAGTCTTGATTCACTCCTCAAGTGGCAACGGCTCTTGAGAGCCACAAGGCCATCCCAGTTGTTCCGGGACACCTTTCGCCGGGTGACTTTGGAAGGCAAGCGATGCAGCACCTGGATCTGATCCTGCCCTCGGTGGCCAACGCCTGTGCCAGCGAGAACGCTGAGACACGCCGACGCCTCGGATCCCGAATCGACGAAACGGACCACGTCTGGCGTGTCCTCGTTGCCCAGTGGATTCCGCTTTCTTTCTTCTTTTCTTATAAGAAACACAGTTTTATGCTATGTTTGTTTTATATTATGGGGGAGGGTTCCCCTTGAAGCTCAACCAACCAAAAAAGGATACCTTTTTTTGCCCATGAAACTCGCCTGGGCATCTGAGTGTGTGTTGGTTTGTTGTTGGGGTGGCAGACGGCGTAGGTGAGTTAGAGGTGTCATCAGCTTCCAACATTGCTTCAACATGCAGCCACTTTCAGGGTTCAATTGCGACGAGCCCCTGTTTACCAGCCAAGCTGGATGAGTTGTGGCGTGCTTGTGTGCGAGAAGTCGCCAGGAATCCAACCTTCGCACTTGAGATGCAAATCTGTTGGACATCGTTTGAGCGAATTTGGATGTCCGTCAAAACTAGGGACCCCTTTTTGTTTGATATTCAAAAGCACAAGTGAGTATGCGTAAGGACTCTTCCAACCAAAGCAGGTCCCATTTTTACACACTTTCCATCAGCCTGGCCTGGTTCGCGATGAGGTAAGGCCGCAATCTTCTGCCTTGTAGACCTCTACTTGTCGGTGGGAGAGGCGTGCGGGCATCCCGACTCGCGACATGGGAGTGGCAGAGGGGTTCCTCTCGCAAGTGTTGTGGACTTGAATGGCTTGGATGGGATGCCTGCTCTAAGACCAAGCTGAATGAATGACATCCAATCTACTAAGTTTTACGAAGGGACATGGATCGAACCGTTCAAACCAGCATTGGGAAGCACCCAGAGCCCGCAAAAGGCCGTTCGATGGGGCGTTTGCTCCTGATTCCATGTAAGCTTACAATGAGTGCATATTGCCGCCAATATGTCATTTGCCTAAAACCATGATGTGTTACGTTTGTTTGTGCCCTCGCTTTTGCAATACAAAAGAACCAGCAGGTTGAGCTATGACCATCGACGCAGAATGATGACATCAAGCCTCCTCCGCGGTTGAAGTTTGAGCGAGCCCCATATGTGCCGCTTTTTTTGTTGCTGTGGCCATAAACTGTGGTACCCTTTGCAGTGTTCTTTCGAGGGGGCACCAAAGCAACATCAAGCTCCAGGGATTCATCCACATGGTCTTTAGTGCAGCTTGTTATAATCAAGTGAGCAGAGTTTGTTTTTGCTACGCATTGTGCTGCGGAGGCACCGGGTAGGCAATTCTGATTGGTAGGCAGCCAGCGTTGGCTATTCAAGAACTTCCTGCGTAGGCAGGTTCGCGTAGACGTGTTTTACCTTACACAAGCTTGAGAGTGGCACCGCAGGTACTGCGCGTAGGCGCTTGTTTCGGCGCAGGCTCGCGTAGGCACCCTTCCATGGTGTTGCAAACTCGCGGAGGTTCCGTGTAGGTATGGCTATCAGTGTTAGGGCCCGAAACATCCAAAAACCTCTACTCACGTGACGGCCCCAAGTCAGTCACTACAAGAGCTGTATGAAGCCGCACTAGTAAGATCATCGCACGTCTGCGTAGATCCGTTTTTCAGGAAGCTCTGATTTGCTTCAACATAGGGAAGCAACCTGGAAACTGGTTGATAAACCACCAATCCCAACTGTTCCCTTTAACCCCCCCAAACAGGGTAATGACTCTAAGACAGGATTCGTTTCTTCCGCCAGGACTCCCGTGAGAGCTATCTGAAGCGGATCCTTGGCACAGAACAAGAACAAACAAGTCAAAAGGGAAACGCCGACAACACCGCAAATACCGAAATGAATCAAAATACATCAAATTGCGCCTCCATTGCAATCTCCGACTTCTGAACACCGCAAAAACCGAAATTTGAATCAAACTACGCAACGCGTTTTGCATGGCAATCTGCGACGTGTCCTTGAGCCCAGAGGGAAGCTCCCGGATTCTCGATTCAATCCCTTCGGCGGGTAGGCAGCAGGCAAAAGAAAAGACAACTCAGCTGAGTGAATCAAACCCCGGGTAATTGGAAGGTAAGGGACATTTCCTTGCCATAAGAATGGGCACGGATAGGTTGTCCTTTTTAATTATTGACACGGTTCTGGCTGGGCTTGGACCATTTTACTGACAGTCCAGTTGAATACCGATGGGTGTTGATTCTGACTCACATGTGGGGTGTGTCTTTTTGTTGATACCCGTTTTCCTATGGGTTGTCAAGGGACCAAGGAAGGCCCAGTTCCAATAGGGGCAAATGGGGGTTGATCAAAAGCTCCTTTCATGTAAAAGGTCCTTTACATGAAATGACCAAATGGGAAGCCACCAAGAAAGCTCGCTCACTGTCATTGGGAAAAGTTACCCATGGTCATTTGGGTGCCGAAGCACCGAGCGAATCCTCCCGCGCAGGAGGCCATGGAGTGCTTTCACCGGGAGCTCTCGCCCAGCCAGCTGACGCTGGTGACCATGTGCGCCAAGACTTCTGGGTCTGTCGCCTTGAGTCGCCTTCAAAGGGAAACCCAAGCGTCAAAGCAAAGGAAACACTGGGTTGGCACGTGGTATTTTAGGGTTTAGACATATGGAAGAGAGTCGGAAGATCTGATATTTTCCACTTGCACCCCACGCCGGGGCGCCAAGTTGGAGCCTGTGGAGCGGCGTGACACACGTGGAGTCGGAGTGGAATGGATCGAAGGATTTCCATGGCACCTTTGAGCTCTTGAACACATATGACCATGCCCTTTTTGGAACATGTTCACCAGGTTTGCTCACATCGGAGGATCCACGAGATGTGTTTTTTTAGAGGTGGGTTTGGGTTTTTTCAGTATCCTAAGAGTCTAAAACTGTTGTTTTGCAGTCTGGACAAGCGAGTGAAGCAGCCGCTGTCGTAAGGATTAAAATTTAGAAACGATGTGCGCATCCACCGCTTGTTCATGTCTTTGCGTCACGCAGGTTGCCGGCTTAGAAGGATGGCAGATGCCAAAATCGGCCGGATGTGTTGCGAAGTTAGTCGGAGTCCATTGTTGGCGGGCTCGGCTACGCTGCCTTTTGAGACTGTGTTTTCCAGTTTTGACACATTGAAAACATGGACGTTGCATGTGCCTAGTGGATAGTTTTGAAGCTGCTGAAGAAATCACCGCTTTGCGGGACCCCTTAAACACGCCACACAATGTCACCAACACGTTGGGCACACCTCCTGCAAGCGTGTAGAGAGGGAATCTTAGATATCAAATGCTACAAAAAAGTCGACATAATTGGAGTGGACGGGGCCCATGCTGGCACCAGGTACGCCCAGCGGCGGCAATGCGGCAGCTGCGCGTCGCAAGAAAGCTGCCGTGAGGACTTGAGGATCGCAACCTGCTGAAACGGAGCTTTCACCGCAGCTCCAAATCAGCTTTGGTCCAAATCCATGCGAGAAGGAGGTTTTCAATCAGCTTGCAGCATTCCAAGCCGCAAGTTGATGCGTCGCGTGGAATAATTCGGGTGAAGCGGGCAAGCTTAGCTATTCCAAATTACTCTGCAACCTTGTCAATGCACCCAAAGAAGCCTTGGGCTGAACCAACCTGAACGTTGCTTGTGAACAGACCTCTATTGTGCCGTGTTTTGCTGGCTTTTTCGCTACGCTTTGATGATGCAGACAACATCACAAGGCGGGTGCAGAGACTTGCCGAATTTGTTCCATGGATAAGGGTCGTCACGTGAGCAGGAACCAAGTCCTTGAGCCACTTGCATGGAGGCTTGCAATGTTCGATGGTGGAATGTGCCTTTTTCCTGATGTGGGTATGGGTCAAAATTAAAGCACCAGGAATCGGACCGCGGTTTTTGTCCACTTTTTCATTTACCAGGATTCCATTAGGGTACCTATTTTGGCCCACGGCCATGTGAAGGAGCTTAGTAGCTCAAGGTTGGAGACAAGTGACATGGGCACTGCTTACAAGTTTAGTCAGAAAAACTTAGGTGTCACCTCACATGGGCCCTGAAAAAGTGTGCGGAACCACCGGCAGCGGGCGGGACGTGGAATGGACTAGGGGAGATGCGTTGCTTGAAGCGGACATACTTCCCCAACAGATTTTGCCATGACGTCCAAATTTGGATCCCAGCAATGATGACATGGGAGTGTCTTTGTGCCATGTATTTTGCTGATGGCGTCAAAAGCAAACCCACCTTGGGAGGAAACCAACCACTTGGGGTTCCCTATTTTACAACACACCTACATATACAAATATACGTTTGATTGTGTCACTGAGAAGGCTCGCCGGCATGAGAACAGCCTGGCAAGTTATTTCTCCCCTCGATCTGGACGTGCAATTTCTCCACTTGACAACCTGACTTTCAGATCTGCCCTCTTTCCAAGAATCAAATTTGCAAGCGAGCGAGAGTTTCATTTTCAACATGACAAGAGTTTGTCCCAAATCCTCCTGTTGGCTTCCGCTTTGAGAGGAGGGCCCAAACTCCCTGCGGTGCCCTTGGTAGATATTTTCAGAATCAATGAGCAATAAGAACGCCCCGTTTTTCTTCTGTGGCCACTGGGGGTTTGGGAATTCCGGCAAGAGATTGAAGCCATTCGGAGCACCCCACCCCACCCCACCCCACCCCAACCCGCAGAGCACGTGGGCGGTCCACTTCTTGCGTTTCTGGTGGTCTCTGAGGCATCCAGCTGGAGGCCCTGAAATGGGCGCTGGAGAGATGCGAGGCGGGGGACATTCGGTGGATGGGATCAGCTTTGCTTTGTACACATGTGGCCATGGGTTGCATAACCTATGGCGATCCCATTTTGGGGTGGAACATCCATTTGCCACCTATGTTGATGTTCACCAGTACAGTGTTTTCACCCACAGCCATGTTTAAGCCGCAGTTCTTTTTGACTCTCACCTAGGTCCCCCAGCTAGGTGCCCTTTCTCACCCCTTTTTTGGGGGGAGGGTTTTCCTACTAAAAGTGTTGCGCATGGGGTAGACTTAGGATACATTTTACATTTTACCAGTGACTCAAAGTGAAGCAAACAATAAAATATACATTCTATAGCTGGGCCTAACTCTGATCTCCCGACTAACGCAGGCACCTGACAAGGGGGTCTTTCAAGAGGAAATTGATCTTCCAGGTACCCTCCCACAAATGCTACGTTAGTAGGACGAAGGGTAATGTGAACATGTTTTGTTCCAGCAGTTGAAGGCACAGACAAAGCTTGACTTATCGATGCGCTGAGGTCACTGTAGTCTTGATTTCTTGATCAGCTCCCGCAACATTCAACATCACCCTAATGACCCCCCCAAACCCAAAAAGATGAATATGGCTTCATTAAGTAGGTCACCGTCACATGGAGATTCGTACATGCTCATCTTGGGGAGGTGTCTATGGTTTTGGACTTCGCATTTCCTGGCAGTTCAACAGAAGACCAATCCAGCAGCGTTTCTGTTGACCCATGTGTTGATCCACGCCTTGTTTGCGGTCGAGGCTGAGAAGCTGCGCCTTCCGCCGGAGGAAGAAGCCAGCAGGGACACCCAGGTGTTTGAGCAAATTGGATTTTGGTCAGTGGAAAAGCATGGTGTAAAACTGGCACCCCCGATTTAATGATTGGAACCCGATGGGGTTTGAAGTTTGAAGTGAAACTGAGAGGAAGTCTGCTGTGAGGGGAATGGTTTTGAAAGAACACCGGAGTGACAAGGGTGTGCCCAACAGGATGTTGTCTTTTTTTTGGGGGGGTCTCAGAACAGACACCCAACTGCCTGTCTAGGGTTTGTGTTTTGAGGAATCACCCAAATGGTTGGTTGTCTCTTTCAGATGAGCCACCTGCTCAAAACGCGGATAGATGAAGGTTAAGGATAGTCCCAACCATAAATGGGTGCGGATATCCGCCTCTTGAATTCTTAAAGCATGGTTCTGGGTAGACCATGTTTCAATACCGATCGGTTTTGACCATGACCCACATGTGGGGTGTGTCTTTTTTCGATACCCGCTTTCCTATGGATGTCAAAAGCCCCCAATGAAGGCCCCCCAGTCCCAATAGGGGCAAATAGCGACTAACAGGAAACCCAAAGCTTGATTGCTATTGGGTTGGATCTTTAGACTTGCACTTTTTGGGAAATCAAGTTGGGTTTTCCACTAACCCCCCAAAAAGTGGCCAACTTTTTGCAGGGGGTCAGCAGCTACCAAGAAAGGAAGCCCGGTTTTCGGTGCGTTTTGCCCGGTTTGGGGGCTGTGAGGCCCTCACTTTGAGCCCTTCGGCTGAGGCTGGCGGAAGGCTTTACAGCAGCTCTACGCGGCCAAAGCGCCTGCTGGCTGAGACTTGGGGGGGGCTCGTCGCCTTTTTCTGGGCGCTGGTTCCAGGTGAGACCAAGGGATTGGTTGCTTAGATTTTGATTCCACCCTTTTGAAGCCATTTGGTTTTTGGTTGATTAAATGTTGATATCACGCTTCTCCGCTTTTCCGCTTCTCGCCTTTTTCGGATTCTCAGTCATGTTGACTCCCACTTAGGGTTGATCCCCCAGATGTCTGCGAGACTCGACCTGAAGCCGCAGTTTGAGGCATCAGCGGCGTAGCTCGGAGCCCAAGGCGCAGCGGAGTAAGGCGCGGATCGATCCGTGGATCTGTTTGTCTCGGGTCTTGGTTTGGAGGGTTTGCCTTTTGGATCCCATTTGGTGCTTGGTTGTTTGTTTGTTTGTTTGTTTGTTTGTTTGTTTGTTTGTTTGTTTGTTTGTTTATCTGTCTGTCTGTCTGTTTGTTTGTTTGTTTGTTTGTTGTTGTTTGGGGGGAGATTGCCTTTGTATTTCGGCGTGTCTTTCCCCCAAAGAGCTGAAAGCTATGGAGTCGATAGGCCCAAATAGGCTGTTGGGGATACCACCTGGGCTTATGAGTTAGAAGGATATGGCTAGGGGTCAAAAATAGGTACCCCAAATGGAACCCTGGTAAGGGAACCAAAGACTAGAACCTGCGGTCCATATCTTGGTTGTATATTGACCCATGCCCATATATCAAAAGGAACCTTTTGACGTGGTCAAAAGCAAACCAACCTTCGGATTTTGTTTTTTTTAGGAAGGCCGCAGCCATCGACTTGGGGCCCCCAATTTTGAGAAACATGACTCAGTGGTTCCCAGCCATCCGGTCCCTCAGCTTTTTCTCACCCAGCCAGTGTGTCACTTTACGCTTTTGTGTTTTTTGGGCTGGTCACTGGCCAAGCGATTTTTAGCTTTTTAGAGTTTGGTGGGGATTTCCATTTAACCTGCTAAAAGTTAGTCACTTTTAGCGGGGGATCTGAAGGAGGGCAGCCCAGGCAACGTTGACCAGTTTGGAACTGCACGAGCTCCGAAAAAGGCCAGCAGGAAAAGGCACAAAATCCTCCATCGAGGAGTTCCAAGTCCTGCGCTAGCTTTTCTGTGACTGCTGTGACTGGTGGTTGCTCCCTCGAAGCCCAGGAATTGTTTATGCTGGTCAAGTATGCGTGATCCGAGTTGCGGCCAGATGGCATGTCCTTTTTGTTTTTGCGGCTGATCAATACGGCTTTGCGTACCGCAAGGCAACCCCCAAAAAAAGGGGGCGCGCCGCACGATTTTGCCATCCACAATGCTTGCTTCATGTTGATAGCTTGCTGTGAGGAAGAGCACTGCTGGAAAAGCACATTCCAATGACTGTCAATGCCATGACATGATCATATTCATGAAGAAGGCAAGCAGGATCCACGCCTGAGTTTCAGTGCGGGGAGCCAAGTTTGCGCTCAAGAGGTATGCCCATGCGTGCACATAGGTAAGCTGTCTTTTCAGCGGCTTGTAAAAAGGACGAATCTTGAGGAACAATCAGTCCAAGCTTTGTACTTGAATCGTTTTCAAGGGACAGAGCATCCATTTTGCCATGGGCTTGCTCAGGCAATAGTGACACACAATGATACCAAGGCTGATTACAAGTACTCGTTTTGAAACTTTTGCAGGTGTTTACGTTGGGACATCCAAGACATTCAAGAAGTTCCTTGGCTGGTCTTTGGTGTGACCGAATCCCCCTTGCTGGAAGAGCAACCCAGGTTCGTCCGTTTTGGAGGCATTTTGTATTGTAGGAGGATGAGACTGCCCAGCAGCTCTACGAATGTCTCAGCTCCCCCTTGCGCCCGGAAGCTCGGAAACAACCGCCTTCTTGGGCCTTCCGTGCCTCTCAACGAACTGATGGTGGGAGCACGCGTTGTCACGGGTTGGTTTACCGGTTCTAACGGGAAACCGGAACAAACCCGCCGTTTTGGGGCTTCCCCGATTTTGATATGGTGGTGGATGGTTGGTTCCCTATTCAGGTCGTGCTGTGGGCGTGTCAGGATAGGCGCCCCGTTTTGGCCAGTGACCAAAGGGAGGAACGATGTGTAAACCCACCAGATGTGTCCATTGCCAGTGGGGTCAAATTTAGGTAAAAAGGGCCGCTACTGAAGCTGCTTGTTCCATTTCAGTGTGTGCTGCAAGTGTGTGTGTGTGTGTGTTTTTGTGCGTTTCGTGTGTTTTTGTGTGTTTTTGTGTGTGTGTGTGTTGTGTGTGTGTGTTGTTTGTTTTTTGTGTGTTTTCGTGTGTTTGTATTTGTGTGTGTGTTTGTGTGTGTGTTTGTGTGTGTGTGTGTGTGTTTGTGTGTGTGTTTGTGTGTGTGTGTGTTTGTGTGTGTTTGTGTGTTTTTGTGTGTGTTTGTGTGTGTTTTGTGTGTGTGTGTGTGTGTTTGTTTGTGTGTGTGTGTGTTGTTGTGTGTGTTTTGTGTGTGTTTTGTGTGTTTTTGTGTGTTTGTGTGTGTGTGTGTGTGTTTTTGTGTGTGTGTGTGTGTTTTTGTGTGTGTGTTTTTTGTGTGTGTGTGTTTGTTTTGTTGTGTGTTGTTGTGTGTTTTTGTGTGTTTTATGTGTGTGTGTGTTTTGTGTGTGTTTGTGTGTGTGTTTTGTGTGTTTGTGTGTGTGTTTGTGTGTGGTTGTGTGCGTTTGTGTGTGTTTGTGCGTGTGTGTGCTTGTGTGTGTGTGTGTTTGTGTGTTTGTGTGTTTTTGTGTGTTTTGTGTGTGTGTTTGTGTGTGTGTTTGTGTGTTTTTGTGTGTTTTTGTGTGTGTGTGTGTTGTGTGTGTGTGTGTTTTGTTTGTGTTTTGTGTTTTCGTGAGTTTTCGTTTTTTTTTTTTTTTTGGTGTGTGTTGTGTGTGTGTTTTTTTTTGTCTTTTTGCTTGTGTGTTTTTGTGTGTGTGTGTGTTTGTGTGTTTTTTTTTTTTGTGTGTGTGTGTGTGTTTGTGTGTGTGTGTGTGTTTGTGTGTGTGTGTGTGTGCTAGTGTGTGTGTGTGTGTTTGTGTGTGTGTGTTTGTGTGTGTGTGTGTGTTTGTGTGTGGTTGTGTGTGGTTGTGTGCGTTTGTGTGCGTTTGTGTGTTGTTGTGTGTGTTGTTGTGTGTGTTGTTGTGTGTGTTGTTGTGTGTGTTGTTGTGTGTGTTGTTGTGTGTGTTGTTGTGTGTGTTGTTGTGTGTGTTGTTGTGTGTGTTGTTGTGTGTGTTGTGTGTGTGTTGTTGTGTGTGTTGTTGTGTGTGTGGTTGTGTGTGTGTGTGTTTGTTTTTGTGTGTCTTTTGTGTGTTTTTGTGTTTGTGTGTTTTTCTGTTTGTGTGTGTGTGTGTTTGTGTGTGTTTTTGTGTGTGTGTGTTTGTGTGTTTTTTGTGTGTTTGTGTGTGTGTTTGTGTGTGGTTGTGTGTGGTTGTGTGCGTTTGTGTGTGTGTGTGTTTGTGTGCGTTTGTGTGCTTGTGTGTGTGTGTTTGTGTGTTTTTGTGTGTTTTTGTGTGTGTTTGTGTGTGTGTGTGTGTTTGTGTTTGTGTGTGTTTGTGTGTTTGTGTGTTTTTGTGTGTGTTTTGTGTGTGTGTGTGTTTGTGTGTGTGTGTGTGTTTGTGTGTGGTTGTGTGTCTTTGTGTGTTTTTGTGTGTTTTTTCTGTGTTTTTGTGTGTTTTCGTGTTTTTGTGTGTTTTTCTGTGGTTGTGTGTGTGTGTGGTTGTGTGTGGTTGTGTGTGTGTTTGTGTGTGTGTTTGTGTGTGTGTTTGTGTGTGTGTGCTTGTGTGTGTTTGTGTGTGTTTGTGTGTGTGTGTGTTTCTGTGTGTGTTTGTGTGTGTGGGTTTGTGTGTGTGTGTGTGTGTTTGTGTGTGTTTGTGTGTTTTTGTGTGTGTGTTTGTGTGGGTTTTTGTGTGTTTGCGGGTGTTGTTTGGTGTTGTTGTGTGTTTGTGTGTGTTTTGTGTGTGTGTGTGTGTTTGTGTGTGTGTGTGTGTTTTTGTGTGTTTGTGTGTGTGTTTGTGTGTGGTTCTGTGTGGTTGTGTGTGTGTTTGTGTGTGTGTGTGTTTTTTGTGTGTGTTTTTGTGTGTGTTTTTGTGTGTGTTTGTGTGTTTTCGTGTTTTTGTGTGTTTTTTCTGTGGTTGTGTGTGTGTGTGGTTGTGTGTGTGTGTTTGTGTGTGTGTTTGTGTGTGTTTGTGTGTGTGTGTGTTTGTGTGTGTGTGTTTGTGTTTGTGTGTGTGTGTGTGTTTGTGTATTTGTGTGTGTGTTTGCGCTGATCAACGCTGCTTGGTGGTGGACCAAAAAATGAGGCTCTATGTTCATGCATTATTAGTAGAGCTGGATTTGGATGGAGTCAAATCGTAGACCTCTTCCATCAAGGGAGTGATGCATGTTCGGTGCCTCGTAGATAATTAATTCGTACAGTGATTTGGGAGGATACTCGCCTTTGGTTGGTGTTAAAGCGAATCCAACCGGAAAACGCGGGTTCTCCAGTTATGGGACAAACCGTGTGTTCATACCAAGCTGACCCGGCGGCAATGTCTTCTTTCGAATCCCCTGGCTTAGTGTCTTGCCCCCCTTCCCTAGCCACTTGCCGATGCGTGGCACCACTCTGTGTTCTAGGCTTTCCCAAACAATTTTCCCCTCTGTGCTTCCAAGGAGACTTACTTGCACCTACAAATGCCGCCGCCCTGCTAGATTCGTGACTGGCATGCCAGCTTTCCAGATGCTTGTGAGCCATTTGGCTTTCGGACTTGAACATTCCACTTGCAGTCGTTTGAGATTGCACATCGCCACCGGCCACCAAAAGCCATCCCAGCAGATCAACATATTTTCCTCACAATGGCGGAAGACCCGCCCCGAATGTTTGCCACTTTCCGGCCTTTCCAATAGGTTGTTTGCCAAACCAGGGCGTATTTAGGGCGTGTCATTTTCGCAGGCCGGTTTTCCAGGAAAAAAAGAGACTGTGGCACAAGATGACACCTGCTCAGTTTTTTCATCCTAACCCTGAGCCACCCTTCCTTCCTCTCCCACGGGCAAAACGAGAAGAAAAAAAACATTAAAAAAAAAAAAAAACGCTCGTGCGTGCAATGTGCTGAGCCATGGCGAGGAAAAAAGGAGCCAGAAGCTTGAGGTCATCAAGCATATGGCCATGGGTCAAAATTCAAAACCCAAATCGTGCCCCCAGTGAACATCCCAATCCAACCACCAAAATAGGTTCTAAAATGGGTGGTGAATTCACCTACCCCAAAATGGGATCCCATTGGTTTGGTTTTGACCCACAATCATATGGCAGAAGCTTCACCCTTTTCTTGCTGGTTCGATGTGCAGGGAATGAGAAATGGAGTCTGACCCCGAGATAAACCACCCAACTAGCTGGTGGTTTCCTTTACGGGGACCCCAGGTTCATTCCCTCATTCCCTACTGAGCACCAGCAAGTGTTGATCCCCTTCATATCGAGGGATATTTGATTTTGTCTTTCAACCGGTGTATTCAAGTCTTCACAAATGCAAAAGGAGTAAACCCCGGGATGTGCCAATATCGGAGGACATGTCCCGGATTGGAAGGGACAGTCGAGAAGCCTTTGGAGAGGATGTCCATCAACAGATTAGTTGTTCTATCCATGTTCAGGATCCCTAAATGAGTCACAATTCAAACCCGGGTAGATGAAGGTTAGGAAAGATCCCAACCATAAATAGGTGCGGCCGCCTTCTTAGTCCTTTACATGGTTCTGGGTTCACCATGTTTGTACCGGGTTCTGATTATGACTCAAATGTGCATTGCCATCCTTGGTGGCCTTCCACTTGGTGGTCCAAGGCTTCCAGATCTCAACGTGCAAGGCTCTGGAGGTGACATGGATGGAACGCAATGGTCGGATTTGTTCGGTGCTTGAAAGAGCCCGCGTGTGGTACGTGTGATTTTGTTAGATCTTGCCATTTTCGAGCTGCTTCGAATGGCCCGCCATTTGCCCCCGCAGGACACCATTTCTGATCTTGAGGGCTCCCCCTTACTCACTTGCCCAAAGCCGACCTTTTGACCTTTTGGTTTTCCCATGTTGGTCCATTTTTAGTAAAGGTCCCAAAAGGTTAACCTTTTATTTCCAGGTCTTTTGGGCAAGTGAGCTTATGTTGCAGTGGTTTGGGCCTTGCGGGGGGGGTCCGGGGTCCTCTTCTGGATGCTTCTCAGGAGACTGTGAGAAGCGGCCGCGGACCGGGCCCAGGACGGGTAAGCGGTGTGGACGGGTATTTCTTTCAGACCAGCTCACGGTAGTGGGTCTCATCCCTTTGAAACGTGTTTTTTGTTGCATGGCCTTTATGCATTTCCTGCTTTGTCGCGAAAGCTCGCTTTGGTAGCTGAAGTCTCTTTTTTTGAAAAGCTAACGAGGTTATAAGTCAACAGCATGCATTTTGTGCCATGGCACGTCGTCTTGAGTTATTCATTCCTTGCAATACTACCTCCCCTTGCCCTCTCACTCAATTTGGCCTTGGTGATTGGTGAAGAGTAGGCGATTCGGGCTCAGTTCACTGGAGCAAAATGCAGTTCGGCTCCTTTTGTGGGGCGTAGACCTGTCGACCGCCAGCCACCCCCATCCTTGGGCAATGAACGTCTCGTGCAGATTCCTTTTTTTTCAGCGGGTGCCTCTATTTGCCAACGTTCACTTCCCGAAGCCAACCCTTGGATTGAGCCTCAACCCTCGCTTCCTTGTTACATTTGTTTAACAGTGGTTGAAGGAGGCCGTCATTTCGACACGTCCTCCTAGCGAAGGATGTGACACCTGTTTTGAGGGAACAAAGAACCCTTCTTAAAGGGGTCCTAGTTTTCCCGAAACGGGGGGGGTGTCAAACGAGCTTCAGTTTGTGTTGAGTTGTCATTTTAGCAAGAGAGCTTGTGGAGTTTGCTCTTAGTAGGACATGCGAATGGGACTGCAGTCGCGGAAGGTTGGCGGAAGGTTCGTAGCAGGGGTATTCCTTGCGGAAGCTTTGCAGAAGCCTTGAGTAGCAGAAATCAAAAGGCTCAACAGCAGCAAAACTGTGGCAACATATTAAATATATGCCGGCGGAAGATCACAGAAGCAGTCGTGGCAGAAACATACCCGCAGAAGCACCGGTTCATGCGGAAGCTTTGCGGACGGGTCGGCGCAACACTGAATCTTAAGAGAGGGCAGTGTCCCCAGCACTGTGTTTTTCATATTCAACCACTGTTCTGAATATTAGTGGCAATCAGAAACAGTCAGGAACAAAGTTCAAATGGCAAGACGGTAGACCCTTCGTTTGGAACTTCAAGCATGGAGACCCGGAGAGGCTACCAGCAGCGACATCGACGGCCTGCGCCTTCGAGCCACTGCGTCGCTTGCTGGGTGCCCCCCAGGAGCTGCGGCGGACGCAGGACCGCTTTGATCCGCTTGTGGGTCTCTGGGCATTGGTTTGGCTTGCCGGTGCTCAGTAAGGGATGAGGGAATGACCTCTATAAACCTTTGGCGCATTTTGCCAAGGGATGCTAGGACTGAATAGCTTTTTGCCGACTAAGGGGTTTTCTGTAGTAAACCACTAAAAGTTAAACTTTTAGCAGGGGAGCACAAAGCAACTGAGAAACCATCCAACTGGTGGTTTCCTTTAAGGGGACTGGGTTCATTCCCTCATTCGCTACCATCGCACCAGCAAGTTGGCTGGCGGGCTGGGTGGTAAATTGGCCAAATTCGGGTGAAGCATTGCATGGCGTTTTTGTCGGTATTCCGACAGTCAGAGGCGCCTCTCATATTGTTTGGTGACGCTGATGATGAGCACGATGGTGATGGCGATGCACGTGATGAAAGGTGATCGGACAAATTAAACCATCCTACTCAAGGGTTTATCAGGCTTTGTCACGTTTTGTTTGAATCTTGGACACGTTTGCACCGCGTGGAGGAGCAAGGAGACTCACTAAGCCAAAAACAAAAGACATAACCCGCAGGTGTTCAGCCACATCCGTGGAATGAGGAGAAGTTCTACGCCAAACAAACAAGAATGAGAATCTTCAGAGTGTCTTCCATTTGCTTAAGATGTTTTTTCCCCCTGTTGGTTTTACAGGGAACCTATGACTGCTGGATTTGTTTTATTTATTTATTTTTTGCATTCAGCTTAAGCAAATGGAAGGTGTCACATAGGCATAAGTTCCGAAAGTTGAGAGTTTTGCTTTGGGGCCCCAAATTTCTCCAAGCTTTGGGAAATCGGACCCCAAAGGAGCGGCTGATGGTGGAGTTTGCTTGGGGATGGGCCTGTCAGAAAGGAGCTGCCTTTTCTTTGGCGAAGTTTTCACCTTGAAAGCCACGTCGGTGTTTCGGGCGGGTCCTTTTGCCCCAAAAAAAGACACAGACCTGGGCTTCCAGGCGCAGGTGCCGGGCATCGTGGTGGACCAGGCGGTGGTGTCTGGCACCGTGCTGCTGCGGGTCCCAAGGGACTGCCACTTCTGCAGGCCCGAGTCCTCGAAACTCCGAGAGCTGTCGGAAAAACTGGCGTTGAGGCGTCGATTTTTGTTGAAGCGCAGTTTTTTCTTCTTCGTGTTTTGTGGTGTGGAACCCATTTCTCGGGGGGCTTCGATTCCTGCGAATTGTGCCTGGGCATGGTCCGATGGAAAGCAAAGAGTTCAGACTTGTTTAGGCCAATCCTCTCGGGAAGTGAGTAGTAGGTTGTGTTTGCAATGGTCATGTAATTTTGTATTTGGAGTTGGATGAACAACGCAAGGATTCTTATTCAGGGAGCCGTGGCGCACAGGAGTTTGGTCCGCTCTCCTCTTGTCTCGGGCTTTTCTCACAAGGAAGCACCCAGAAAGGCAGGGTGTCCTTTTTGCTATGGCCACAAAGGCAGAGGTCCCGGACTTAATTTGAAGTTTGCCAGGCCGCGCTGTCAAGAGGAGATGCCAAACGTGTACGACGCCTGCGAGGCTAGGGCTAGCCGTGAGTCTTTTTTGTTGTCGAGATGAGAAACATTGGAAGTGGAACGTGACATGCAATGATGTAGATATTGTTTTTAAATAGAACACCCCCTTGTTTGGGGGTTTTGCTTGCAGGAAAGGAAAGACACCAATGGGCGAGCCCTTTATTTTAGCAATCTCTCTTGCTTTGGTGTGGCCCTGACAGGGAGAACATGGATCTCTTTTAACTGCAACCAGTCCAGAAGACAAGCAGATCTCAGCTGCACCCAATGATTCAGCTTTCATTTTCCCAAAGAAAAGCCAAAAACAGGGGACCCCTTTCTATGGGTTTTAAAGGGAAACCAACAAGAACCCCCCCACCCGCGGCTGCGAGAGAGAAACTCACCACATCCTGCGCCGGCGGACACGTCTTGGATATCCGAGGGCCCGCCTTGCGCAGGTTCCGCAGGTTCCGCAGGTTCCGCAGGTTCCGCAGGTTCCGCTTTCCGCTCGCTCGGGACCGAAGCCTGTCCCAATGTTGAGAAACCACCTTGGGGTCCCAAAAGGAACCACTTTGGGTCGCCTTTGGAGAAACACCCCTTTGGCCACACCCCATCCATCAAATGGACAGTCTCCGTTGGCACATCGCCAGTCGAGTCCAGGCCCTACCCAGCGCGGACCCCGAGAAGCGCGCGGAGGCGGCGGACGCCTTGTGCGCCTCGGGCGTTTTTCTTCTTGTGTTTCTCGCCGAAAGCCGGTCCGCGGAAAAAAGTCGGACGGGGTGAGCTCGGCCGAGGCTTTGGCGAACTGTTGCCTTAGTTGTTTGCGAGATTTCGACCTTTTTTGGCGGGTCGGAGGGCGTCTCACGCATCCCAAGTGTGGTCAATCACCTGTGAAATGCAAAGAAATATCGCCGCGCCATTGAAGGCACCAACCTAGGGCTGAAGCGACCTTGACAGGCCGACCTGCGTGTGCTGTGCATCTATCACATTTAAAGCATCCCACAGTGTGAGCCCTTAGCCTGACATCTCCTGTAATCTCCCTGTTTGCCAATCTTTCTTGGTGTTTAGTGGGTAAGGGAAGCCAACCCGGTGTAGGGATCCCCGTGAGCACGAGGGATACTGATTAGAGCCAGAGCAAATGAAGCCATAGGCCAAACGGTGACAAGTGCCGAATGGAAGACACTTCAATCTGTTCGGGGCTATTGAGGACCTTCCCATGGTTCCCGTTGCACTGGCTCTAATTGGATGCATTTGTTTGTTGGCACTCTTCTCTGGGCTGTACAGAGCAGTCAAGGAGAAGCACCTATCACCTACTTTGGGGTTTTCCCTCTTTGGAAACAAGCTCAATATTCGAACGAAAACAATGTCCAAGGCCCTTTGTCGGATGGTTGTAACGGAAAGAAGCAGAAGTCAGTTGCCAGAAGCACCAAACCGCCTGCTGCGCCTCCGGTTTGCAGAAGTGGGGGGTGCCTTCTTTTGAGGGTACCTTTTTTGGTGTTGTTCAAGGGAAACCAAAAGGAAGCTAGCCACTCTGGAGGTTCCGATTCCTATTTTTTTAGATATATCCAACTTAGAGTGACTTCGACTCAGGTATGGCCCGTCTACTTCTGGATGCACAGCAGCCAAAAGGTGCCTCGGGCACACAATTCATGTCCGAATCTCGTGCGGCCTTTTGTCTGCTGGATTTTCGCGGGTTTGTGGTTGAGTGGTGCAAACATTTGCCATTCGTGGAGGGAGCCTTGCCGGTCATTTTTCTGGGGAATTCGAGTGGTGTCTGAAGAGGCTTGTCTTGTTCACAATCTCAACCAATCGTTGCTTCATTCCCCAGCGTCCAGAAACTGATCCTCTAATGTCCCTTCTTGGCTGCGTCCTGGTTGCGGTGACGGGTGTTTTGGTGGTGTCTTGGTGCTTGGAAATTGCTTGGATGTTGTTTTTTTTGTGGTGCGGAGCGCTGGTGATCACATGGCCGCTGATTGGTTGGCTTCGTGACATGCCAAGGATCTTTGTTGGGCTTAGCTTCGAAAAGACACCAACCTGAAGCTGACCAGTGGGTGCGGCACGCTGGTTTTCACAGCGGATTGTCCGGGTGTGATGGTGTAGTGTTGAAATCTGGAACAGAAATATCCTTCTGGTTCAAGCGGGGGGTTTCCTTTCACCTGCCTTGAGTGAAAATTAGGAGACTCCCTCAAAAACAATGCAGCCAACCCTCCAACTCAGAGGATCATAGAGAATCCATTTTCCCCGGAAAGGCCCACACATGCGTTTGTTTGACATACTCCAAGCAAGCGCGCTCAGGGGTGTGGGGCGTGCGTCACACATGAAGGTCCTTCGTGAGGAATCTCTTTATTTCGGGTGCTGAAATGTTCCAATTACCCTCCCTCCCACTAACAGAAGGCGCCTGTGGGAGGTTAACCGGAAGATCAATTTCCTCTTGGAGGGACCGGGTCCCTGTCAGGTGCCATGTTAGAGGGAGGGTAGGTAGCCTAAATTATTCCCAGAAGCTTCCGACCGACTCGTTGCCTCCAGGCAATCGCTCTCTTGCCGTGCCGGTGGTTTGGCAAGCCATGGCTGACGCTCTGCTGGTGGCGGAGGCGACTGCCCGGAACCGGGCAGGTTCAACTGGCTCGGAAAACGCCATCTGCATGCGTTTCAACAGGGGCTCACGGCTCGAATTGCTTGCCCTGTTTCATTGGTGGAAACGCTGCTTGCGAGGGGCAGGTTGTGGATTACGGGCGATTTGCCAGCAGGATCAAGAGGTGCTGCCTTGCCGTGCTGGGACTCCAGAAGGCTTCCAAAAGCGGCCATTGGGTCGACGCCTCGCCAGGACTTCTCTGAGCATCCCTACATGGCGGCTATGCAGGGCAGATGCCCCGACGGCCCACCCTCCGCAGAGAAGGAGCTGATCTCTGCCCAGGCGCAGTATGTAAGGACACGCGTGGTGTCCGGCGGAAAAACTCGAGGGGCCAGATTGAAATTTCAGCTTCGCGCGGGGTGCGAAGCAGGGGACCCCACTCCCGTGTCTCCAAACGCGTCCGAAGAAGGAGCAGTGGAAATGGTCAGGGCGCCCAATGGATTCCGATTTGCGTTCCGTCTTTAGAGGGTTCCCATGACCCCTCTTCGTATATGCTTTGTACAAGCTCCTTTTGTTTTTCGTTTCAAAGGGTCAGGGGTTGTTCAGCAACAAGTATGGCAAAATGCAGGTTTGACTCCAAACAACGGGTCACCAAAAGACGCACCCGTATAGCAACCAACCCTCCGATCCCTCACCAGGACCGTCTACAGCTGCCTGCGCGCGCTGGACACGGCTGAAGTGCCGGAGGAATTGGACGAAGGCAACGCGTGAGTCAGGGGGCAGATCATGTGCATCAAAAACCCACGTTGGTGCCTCCTAGAATAGTTGTCGCACATTCAAAAGGTTGCCTGAAGGGCTGTAGCAAAACACTGTTGCCTTCGTCAACCAGCCTGGGGTAGACTTACGATACATGTTCCATTCTACCAGTGACTCGAAGGGAAACAAACAATTGAATATCTATAACTGGGCCTAGGTCCAATCATGCGGCCAAAGGGCCTTCTTTGCAGACGGACCCCAAGAGTTTGTATCACTGCCAGTCACAAGAAGCCCTAGAAGCACTGGTTGCGGCTGCGAGCTGGTGGCCAAGCCCCGAAACGTGAGCTGCATGCTTGGGAGCAAGCACCAAGAGGGATGAAGAATCCGAGAAAATAGGACCAGTTGGTAAGGCAGCTTGAACACACACCCAAGATGTATGAAGAACCAGCTCAAATGGCAAATCCCCAAGTGGGGGTTGGATCCATATCCTGGCCCACAAACGACCATGGGTAGCTTTTCCCATGTGGTGAGTGTCAGTTTTTGGGGGTTTCCCTCATGGTCACCCCATGTGTTGTTTGTTTCTTCTTCTTTTTTTCCGGACCTTTTGATCAATCCGCAAGTGGCATGCTGAGGGTCTGGTCTATCCACGGCTGACTTTCCAAAAAATCAGCGTTTGTACTCTCACCCAGAACCCCTCATCTTTTCGGGTGGTTTCCCTCATGGTCAGTCCATTGAGCTTCTGATCAATCCAGTGGCATGACCAAACCTCACACCTCACTGCCGCAGGTCTTTTCCTGCTCAGCTGGCTGCTTCTCTTGAGCCGCCGCTTTGCTGGCCCGGAGGGCTCCACGCTGGTGCCAGGCCTGGGCCTCAAGGGCCTCAAGGGCGAGCCTTCGGGGTGACACCAGAGACTCGCTTGAGCCACGTGCTCAAAACCGATTCCAATTAGAAGGTGAGGGACAAACTCTTTTCACGGTTTTGGGTTCACCAGGTGCACCAGGTTTTGATTGCGACTCAGTTGACCATGTGGCAGGCAGTTGGGACACGATTTGACACGAGAGATGAGAATGTCACGCCCTTGGGCCTTCTGAGGCGTGGATTTCCTGAACCACTCGTCCCAGCCAAATGCATCCAGCGACTGGGATGAGGACGGTGCAAGTTCTGCTAATCAATGTTCTTCACAGGCGATGCATCGCGCGCGCGGTGGTTTTGTGTGTGTGTGTGGGTGGGTGGGTGGGTGGGTGTGTGTGTGTGTGTCTGTGTGAGCGTGTGGGTGCATAGGTGTCCTTTTTTGTTGTTTTTTTTCTTCTAAAAATAGATGGCCCTGGTTTACCTGGTGGTTTCATCATCTACCAGGGAAACCCATCTATTTCCCCTAAAAGGACACCTATGTGTGGGTGGGTGCGGAGAAGGAGGATGGCTGAGTGACGGGGGTGTTGGGTGTGGGTGTGCGTGTGTGCCCGATCCCAGCAGTCACTTGCGAAATGACAAAAAGAGACGATCCTTGCTGGATGGTTTGCACAGGAAACCTGAATCTTCCACTTGCTTGAGGGGGATGTGTTTGTCCTTGCTGGCTTTGAAGAGAAATGGTCATGACATATATATATATATATATGCATATGTATATACATCTATGTATATATATACACAGTATCAAGATATATCATACGTACCAGTTCTGACCAGTTCTGCTTATGACACATATCTCTGTATGAATACACACACACAACTTTTCTATACACAGATATATGAATATACCCATATATAATATATTTTGCTGTATGTGGTTACATAGATATGAAAATACCCGTATCTGATATATAGATATGACAATACCCATATATATATATATAACATATACCTGGAGCCTCAAACGACTGCCGTTTTTTTGGTTGCAGTACGGTGCGATCATTTTCTGCTCGTACGACCATTTTTTGGAACGACCATTTTCTTTTCAAACGTGCTGAATGCCTGCCATGCATGCTGCTCAGGCAAGTGGGCACTACGCAACTTACCTGCCAAGGCCTATCGAAGTGACAGGCTGTGACATTGGTTTGTTTGAACCAACGCATGATTGACAAGAATTGGGTGGGCAGCATGCTGTGGCTACTGAAACGACCGCAATTTATCATTTCATACGGCTGTTTTTTGCAATCAACGACCAATTATTTCTGTTAAACGCCCGTTTTTTCTCGGATCACGGCCTTTTTTCTTACAACGACCGCCTTGTTCTCATGCTGCGACCATTTTTGTGACATTATTTTTCCGTACAAAACCCGTACAAAATCTGTAGAAAACCGTACAAAACCGCACTAAGCCGTACAACAGCGCACAGAGACGTATTTAAGCTCTGACACGCTGCACCACAGGGGTGTTGGGGGCTGCAGTTGCCATGATGATTATTTTTGGTCTAATGCGGGATTTTTTTCTTACCGCGACCGTTTTTGTCGCGCGGCTACAAAAAAAAGTCTTTCGAACCGCGACCAAAAAAAGTCAGTCTTTTGAGGCCCCAGGTAATTCTAGATGTACTTTTCCCCACCTGAAGCGAATGGACGTAGTTGGTACCTCCTGCGTCCCAGAGATCGGCGCAGGACTCGGGCGCTATTGTAGTGACCACGCTGCAGGATTTGAAGCCAGGAGCCGCGCACGCCGCTGCAAGTTGACGCCTGAGACGCTTGCCGCATTGCGGGAGTACGAAACCTGCATGGGACACTCTATTGTTGTGTTTTTGCGTGATTTGAGTGAGACCTGCTGTTTGCGTGTGCCCACATACTAATTAGATTCCTGCACTTGCAGACTTAGATATGTATTCCCTATGAAGTTGCGTGATGAACTTCCAAGGCCCCGTTATGCGCTGCCAACGGAGGTTATCTGCACTGTGCCCTTTGCTTCTTTGTGAGCCATGCTTTAAGCATCACACATTTCTCAGGGCGCCTTTGCAGCCAACCGACCACCTGAACATGTTTCGGGGACAACCCACGGGCAGCTTCATGGCAGCTTTCTTGTGAGTCCATGTGTCCGTCTGTTTGTCTGTCTGTCTGTCAGCTTCACCACTGGAACAATGTTCTTTCTCCATGTTAGCCGGGGCACCCCAAATTGAGTCAACCCCACAGGAGATGAGGTCCTCATCAGCTACGGCTGCTTGTCCAACCCTCTGCTCTTCCGGACCTACGGCTTCACGCTGCCCTGTGCGTCGGCTCCTCAAAAGATGCAGCGAGCCAACCATGGCGGGGTTTCCAAATCCCGTCGACTTAGTCGCCCTGAGGCATATGGGTAATGGAAATGCGATTTGACCATGTCCTTGCAGCAAGACTGCACAGCAAGAAATCGGTTCCGACACACGGCATACGCTCGGAGCATCAACTCCTGTGGCAAAGGGACAATCTCGGGGTCCTGCCTGGTTTGAAGCATGTGTGTATGTTAAACATATGGCCATGGTAACGACGCAGCACGGTCAAACAGCAAGCCGTATATGCAGCAGCGTCCCTATTTTTTCTTGCTTGCTACTTGGCATTCACGAGAAAAGTATCTGGACCCAAAAGCGGTTCGAAAAGGGTTCCCTTGGAGAGTGTCCAAAAATGCCACGAAATGGAGGTCGTGCACCCTTTGCAGAGTGTTCCCATCAATGGCTTTTTGTTTTCCACCAAATGCAACTGGCCTTGGTAGGAACATGGCGTAAAGAAAGCTGCTGGCTCAGAAAGGCAACAAAGGGACTGAACAAGTCATGGGAGGGCAAACGGATTGATCGATGCCAAGTCGCCCAGCTGTCAGTCTTTGGTTATAAACATCACCGAGTGGCCAATTGAACGGGGTTTCTCCATGTTCGATCGTCGAATCAAACGGGAAAGTCCCGTCTCCCTTGTTTCAAGTGAGTTTCCTTCGGCACAGACACACACACACACACCATTCATTTGTTTGTGAATCCTTTTTCGTGAGGCTGGAACCCACCTGGACCTGTACCTTCGGGCAAGCGGAGCTGGCGGAGGTCTGCAACGCGACTCCTGAGCTCGAGGCCTTGGGCCGAGCGTGGCGATGGAATGGCTGTGGTTGTCAAAACCGTTTTGGGATCCCATTTTGGGGATGTTGGGGTAGGTGCACCACCGGTTTTGGTCTTTTCTAGGATGTTCACTGGGGGTATGGGATTTTGACCCATGGCAAATGAGGGTGTCGTTTTGTAGGGGACACCCCCAAAATGACCGTTTCCCTGTTGGTGTCCCTGTGAAAACCCACCAAAAATGGCAAACTAAGGCTACCCGCAAAAAAACAAGATTCACCCAAATGAATGGTGTGTGTGTGTCTGGGGTCTCCTCCAGAAGAATGTTTTTGTTTTAAGGGTAGACTAACTATGAAACAGAGTCTGAACATGACAATTTTCTGTGTACCCTGGATGTGGGCCAAGTTTTGAGTGCCGGTTTTGTTGTTTCCCATGTTCAGATGCTTTGGCTCACACACGTTCCGGGTTGTTGCCGTGGTATTGTACCCCTAATGCGGGGTACAAAGCGTGCCCACCTTATTCCTCCAGTTGAGCGGTTTGTTGACGTTGCACTTAGTGTTAACAAGCCAACATGAGGGGCTTTGCAAGGTGTCATACCTTGAAAAGAACTGAAAAGTGCCAAGCGAGCCCTTATTGATCACAACTTAGGCATCACAACTTATGCTCGAAACCCAATCATTGACCGATTGTAATTTTGGTCTTACTTATGTTCAACGTGCCATGGTTGCAGTGTTGCTCACTGGGATGGTTAAATATCGCCACGTTTCGCCGGGCCTTGGCCACCCCCTCCCAGCCTATGTGATTTGGGCACGTGGTTGGCCTAGGGAGCTCTGGTTGGCCGAATATTCCATGTGATATATAATTTTTCATGGTTGCTTCCCAATTTGCGACGGGCAACCCATGAGGTGCAGGTTCTGACGCGGGATTTAATGTTAGAGCAGTATGCCGGCCCCTTTGTTTGCCTTGTCGCCCCGACATTTTGACAACCAGACTCACCAGACTCGTGTTTCGAAATGCGAACTACGACCTACAGCTTTGACTTGAAGATTCACACCGTGAAATAGTCCTTTGCAGGCAGAAACACCTCGGATCGTCTGCACACCATGCTACAAACACAGATGCATTTTGGATGGCCCCGCACACTTGGGATGTGGACTGCCATCGGTGGCTTGGTGAGACTGGGCCGTGGCCACGTGGCCGGGCCTGGGCTGGCCGATGCGCATGCATTGGTTGCCACCTTGCTCTAAAGAGTCTTGGCAGCTATGACAAGCAAACCGCTCTTTGCGCATGGTACTCTATTGAAGTTTAATGCATTCAACTCAAGGTTCTGTATCAGTTGTTTGGGGGTGCAACCATGTGTATGCGGCAAGAAAACAATAGTTGTATACGCCAATTTGATTGCAGGCTCGGGGGGATTCCTTGCCGCTTCCTGCGCAACATTCGATGTGTTGCACGCATCCGCCATCATGATCTCTGAAGGTCTTCCGAAAGCGATTCGTTATTGGCAACTCTTCCTTCGGTGCGGCCACATCCTACACCACGTTATTCTGGAAAACATTGGAAAGCCATATGGATTCACTTGCTGGTGCTCACTAGGGAATGACCTTCCGGGTGTTGGGAATGAAACGGAAGGGGATTCCCTTACAGGAAACCATAGGGGATGTTTTATCTCAGGGTCGTTCCAACTCATTCCCTGATAATGAACCCAAAGATTCCCTTAAATGAAACCATAGTGGATGATTTATAGGGGTCGTTCCGTTTCTCATTCAGCATACGGATTTGCTTGCTGCGCACCAGCAAGTTCAATCCTCATCTTCCCCAAGTCGGTTCCGCCAGTCTAAGGGTTTTTGTATTACACCCTGGAAATACACCCAGGGTATTGACCCCAGAAAAAGGCATATTTCCGGATAAAACCACGCGTGTGATTTTCCGAACCATTCTGGGTCATTCCCCGAGGGTGTAATCCCAGGGTGTAATACAAAAACCCTCAGAGCCAGGGGCTTCCGAACCTCCACTTGGACGCGAAACTGGTGACGCAAGAGCTGGCCCAGCTTCTTCAGGCGCGTGCGAGCGAGCAACGGCCCGAGCAACGGTCCGAGTCTCTCGTGGGATTGGGGGGGACCTGCGGCGGTTCTTCATGGGGCGCAACGGGAAACCTGCAAAAGGAGCACCAATCATTTGTAAGTTCAAGGATCTTGGGTTCTTTTTCTCCTAGTGACTCCCTTTCAAACCTAAAACCTTTAGATAATTTGAGCAATCATGAGTTTTTAGGTTGGGTTTTGTTGAATTGTGTCCATTTCACCTTCAAAGGGAAAAACCTTTCGACTGCTTTGTGGGGCGATGTGTTTTGTTTGGCGCCTCTCCAAAAGCTCCCGAAGGCGTGGCCCGGCGCGGGGCAGGCGCTCAGGGCGCTGCTTGCCCGGCGCCTGGCAAAGACGCCGCCGGAGTCGCGGAGGCGAGCGGTCGCCGAGGAAGGGGTCGATGGTCGACGGGTCGACGGGTTGGGGCCGTGGAAGTCAAGGAGACCTTTAACTCAGGCCGTGGGTCAAAACCAATGGTACCATTTTGGGGTAGGTGCACCACCCATTTTAGAACCTATTTTAGTGGGGATTGGGATGTTCACTGGGAGTTACGCTTCATGTTTAACTCACTTGGCCATGGGTAACATGTCATAACCTAGGCCTCCATTTTTGGGGGAATTGATGAACATCCATGTAGCACCTACTTTGATGTTCACCAGGGGTATAGGGTTTTGACCCACAGCCACTTGAGTTCCGTTTCGGACTTTTGTCACTTTTTGGGTTTGGAGCAGTTTAGCGGTACACAAACAGTGAGGTTACTTTTTCTGGCCAATCTACTCGGGAAGTGAGTTAAGAGGGAGCCTTAAAGAAGGGCGACAAGAAACAGCAGCGGTGCAAAGACGTGGAAGTATTGCGTTTGATCCTTTTTGGATGCATGTCAGAGGGCAACCAACAGGGGGCCAGCTATTTGCAGGACACACCAACACTGCTTTTGGAGCACCCGCGTTCTAGTTGTAACGTGGCATTTTTCTTTTCTGCAATCCACGAGCAACTAACAGGAGTAACAACCGGGTTGAGGAGAACAATGCTTGACAACGTGTTTGGGGTGGGGGGGGGGGGGTCCTTTTGGTTTCCACTCCCAGGCAAGAAATATAGTTGTTTGCTGAGATCCTAATTCCAGCCAAGGTTCAGGGTGCCGTGTTTGTCACGTCAGGCAGCTGCAGAACCGGCCAGCACTGAGCGGCCACGCAGAACGTGTTGCCTTCAGCGAGATGCTGGGACTGTAAAGTGAGTGAGAGAAAGGGTTTATACGGGGTTGTGTTGCATGAGAGGCCACTTTCCTTTTGGGGAACCCCTTTGTTCACTTCCATGGTTGTTGAACCGAGAGCACCCCTTCCCCCTGACTCCTATTTGGACACATGCCTTTACAACTTGTTCTTGGATCGTTTTTGAAATTGAATGTGAACGCATGTTTTCTTGAATGTGAATGCATCTTTTCGCAGCTGGTCCTGCGCCCTTGACCTTGTCCCCCATCTTGCATCTTGAAGAAGGGTTTACCTTGGTCTCAATATTCTTCTTTTTTTTCCGGCAGGAAGGGTGTACATATCCAGGTTCACTAAGAATGGCACATGATCAACCGTAATCTTTGGGGGGCACAAGATGAGGTGGCTTTGGCTCCTCGGGGGGGGAAAGAAAGAAGCGCATCTGGAGCTCCCATGGTGCATCAACATTTTCTTCTGGGAATCCCTGGAGTTTCCCGCAGCAGTCAGCAAAACTCAAACCCACGCAAGGCGTTTGTTGGGCTCCAAGTCTGAAAGCTTTCGACTGGATGCCTGGATGGGTCTGTTGTAAACTGCCAAGCATCCAGGTTGTGATACGCGTACGCGTGACCCCAGCATAGAACTCATCAGAAGCTCCCTGGAAGTCAGCCACTTTGGCCAGCGATTTAGGCGCCATATGCACAAAGCCGCTAGGTCTCCCAGTAGTGCCCTTTCTCACCCCTTTTTCAGGGGAGGGTTCTCCTACTAAAATAGACTACAGAAGAAAGGGTACCCTTATTCTAACCTCTCTACTGCAGGACCTAGGCAGATGCCACAGGCGTGATGCCACAGGCGTGTCCTTTCTTGGGAGACTTTTGTCCAAGAGGTCCGAAATGGTCCCAACCAATGCAAAAAACGGAGACATTCGACCACGACTCAGCTCCAGAGGTGGCTCTGAGCCTGAGGTATTGTTGCGTTTTCCTGCACGCGGAGATCCTGGAGGAGCTCGCAGGCCGGCCGGTGTCCTGGCTTCCTGGTGGTGTCCAAGCCGAAGCATCTAAAACTTGGAATGAGTTGGAATGACCCGGAGATAAACGTCATCATCCGTTGTGGGATCCTTTCAGGGCATCCCAAACGGTCCACTCCCAACACCCACGAGGTCATTCCCTCTTTTTGTCGCGCAAGGAAAAGGCCCCCGATTTTGAGAACTCCCATGTCTGGCCTGTTGGCTAAGCTGCTGCTACTTCCCTGGGCTTGATGCCTGTGGAAAAGCACTGGCCTGTTTATGTGCAATGTTTTCACAACTTGGCTTTTGGGCTAAGCGAGTTGCCCTTGCTATAACTGAGCTTGGGTGTCCCAGGTTTCTGTTGGTTGAAGATTGGCCCTTTGATGACCACCACTAATGCTTCGAATCTGTCCACAGTAGCCTCCGATAAATATGTAAACTTCATCCAGGCTGACCGGCAGCCCAAACAGCAACACATAGTCAGCTTGCATGAGATTGAGTGAAACAAGCGGCAAGCCAGCAAGCCACCACATTGAGTACCTACTCATGCAGATGCAGCGTTGCTTTTGGCCAAAGCGAGCAGCTAAAGTCTGTTGTGACGCAGGCTGCACTGGATGATTCTGAACAAACTGCAACGACCTCACATGACCTCACAAAGGGTGTTTTGTCCTCACCTGCGAAGTGTTTTTCATAGGGACTCCTATCTCCTATTTTGGGGCCGCTTAACTGTTCTAATTCACCCAGCTGTGTCCTGGCCGTGAGACAAGAGGCCTTGGTAAGGGCCAACTAGCAGCCCTTGGCTAAGCTTTCGGACACAGCCAAGGAGCTTTTCTCAAGTAGCTTAGAGACTCGAAACCTTACATGCCCTAGCTTAGAGATTCGATACCTTGCAACATTAAGTTTAGAAGCACAACTGAACCTTGCAAAATTACAAAGCCTATTTTAGAAAAACCACTGCCGCATGTTCGGGACCTTGCACCCCCCCAGCCAAGCCCCTGAAAGGCTTTGGGCTTCGCATTGGCTTTGCCTTCGGGCCAGGCGGACGTTCAGTGGGACCGGAGCTGGAGGCGGAGTGCCAGGACTCACGGCGGCGGTTTTGGGCCGTTTTGGGTGTTGAGTGAAGTACCTTTTTGTGGATTTTGGCAGGGTTTCCGAACCGTTTCCCTTTACAGGGAACCTCCAAAAGTGGCAGAACAACACACATTGCCGCTTTGGGTGGGGAAATCCAGTGACACCTGATTGAAGGAGAACCAACAGAAGACTTAGATTCTTAGATATGGGTATGTCTTTTTGAGGGTGCCCTTGTTGCCCATGATTCAAAGGGAAACGATCAGTGAGACCACTCATATTGTACGGTTTTCGTATGAGACTGACTCATGGGAAGGAATGGGTTAGTGAATTGTGCTGATTTTAAAAACTGGTGATTTTACTCATGGGGTACAGAAGGCGCTTGTGGGATACACAAGTAGTAGTTGCGTTGCGCTTTTCAAGCAGCTCGTGGAACATGGTTGGCCTCATTGAGTTTGGACAACTCTAGCCTGAAGGCCATGGGTATATGGCTGTGGGTCAAAACCAATGGTACCATTTTGGGGTAGGTGCACCACCCATTTTAGAACCTATTTTAGTGGGGATTGAAATTCTCACTGGGGGTACGATTTGGTTTTTGACCCATGGCCATATTATGGGACTACCTGAAACTATGCAGTTTGGGCCGCTTGTGGTGTTTTAAGCTGAGTCACAATCAAAGCCCGGGTAAGTGAAGGCTAGGGACAGTCCCAACCATGTCTGCCCTAGCAAGGGACAATCCCAACCATAAAATCGGTGCGGATATCCGCCTTCTTTACATAGTTGTCCTTTTTAGGTTAGTTTGGTTAAAAATAGAAGGCGCCGGTTTTATGCCATAGGGCCATCTATTTGCCCGAAAGGACACCTATGCTTCTTCTTTTTTCAAGGGCGGACCGTTTTGAGACCGAGCGAAGCTTCAACTCATCTTGACGAAGAAGTTTCGCCTGGCCCAACTCTTGGCCCCATGATTTCAGCAGGTGCATAGCTGTCGGTTGGCTTGGTTAAGAATAGACGGGGTTTGACAGGTTTAGATGGGTCTTAGAGACCACTTGCCAGGGCCGTCTAAGGAGGTCCTGTCTTTTGCGCACTGCTATTGGCAGATCCAATGGCAAGAACCAACGTGCAAAAAGAGGAACTCATAACCCACTCAAATGGCCCGTGCAACCGAAACAAGAAGCCAGGCGGTGCGGCCTTCGAAAGTTTACGTTGTTCAAGACCTGGAGCGGGAGCCCATAAGATGTAGGGGCAACTCCACGTTCATACGTAGCATCCAACTGCCTACTGCATCAGGATGACGGAGAATCAGGATGCTTTTTCCCGTCGATTTCCAGCTGCTACTTCTATCGAATTCTTGACATGTGACCCGGTCAAGGGGGTTCTGAGAGCCTTGAAGCGACGAGGATTGGATATGGCTTTGGGTCAAAACCCTGTACCCATGGTGAACATCAAAATAGGTGACAAATGGATGTTCATCCACCCCAGAATGGAGCCATAGGTTATGCCCCACGGCCATATGAACATGTGTCAGGAGCTGAAAAGCGAGCTGAAGCTTATCCAGCAGGCCGGGAAATACTCAGCCGATGGACCAAGTTGAGCTCTACTCCTCATCGAACCCCAAAAAGGGAAACAGTCTGGTGGCTTGAACAGTCTGGTGGCTTTGGACATGGCAGCGAAGCCTGGCGCATGGTCCCCCGCCCGGATCTCAGAAGCGAAGCCTGGGAGACTAATTCCCGCAGTCCATCCATCGCATTTTGGGGGAAGGTTTTGCCCGGCAAGGCTGGCATGCTGACGCTGACGGAGTCCACGACAGACGCCCCAAGCGGGGAGAAAGAAAGGGGGAGCGCGAGCGGATGAGGAGGGCAACGGAGCTGGCGGCAACAGCAGCTGTGGTAATTCTCAGTTGTTCAAAGCCGATTTTAACCTTCTGGTTTTTCCTCTTTGGTCCACTTTTAGGAGAGGTCCCAAAAGGGGAACCTTGTAGAATCAGGTTCTTTGGTCAGCTGAGAATTTTCAGTTTGGGGGGTTGAGCATTGCCGCCCTCCACCTACTTCCAAGCTGGCTTGAGGCAAAATGAGGACACATTTCTGCCCATACGATTCCCCAAATCGGTGCAGGTTTCCCCACCCTGCGGGTGATGGAGGCAAAGGCCACGCCGCAGGGTCGAGCATGTGCCGAGGAGTTCCCCTCGACTGCCACAAGGTGAAAGTCACTAGACGACACGCGAACATCTAGATGCCCAAGCTGCCGTGTACCCACAAAACGAGGCATGCCATCGAATGCCTGGCAGCAAGCTACTTCTTTCATAGCCTCACCAAGCACAGGTGGAACTTCCGAAGCTCAAAAGGCTACAAAGAAAGGCCAAGGTTGACTCACTTGGCTGTGGGTCAAAAATAGGCTAACCCAAAGATCCCTGGCAAATGGAAACATGGACATTTCAAACTGCGGTCCATATCCTGTTGGCTTAATTTGTTTTACCCACTTCTTGAGCAGGGCTCCTTAAAAGATACATTTGGCAACCATTTGAATCATGTTGCTTTTTCAACACCAAAATCAAGTTGGACACCACCATTTACAAGTTGCATTTTTCATGTGTTTTTTTCATGCATCCGGATCCCTGTTGAGTTCACGGACTTTTGGTTCACTTGGCTTTGGGCCATTTTTGCTCCCCTTCCAACGTCAACCAAGGTTTGACCCTTAAAAAATGGGTTTAATTTTGACCCATACACACTTCTTGAGTTCATGGACTTCTTGAGTTCACTTGGCTTTGGGCCATGTTTCCGTGGCCAAGAACCAAAACCTCCGAAGTGAGGCCTGGAGCCACTGGCGGCGGCGCTGGGCCAAGCTGCAGCCCTCGGCATCGAGGTGGGATTTGTGTTGTTATGTTTGGTTTTATGAAAAACATTTTTTTGGTTTTAGTTTTTGTTTTTTGGTTTTAGTTGTTTTTTTTTGGGATTCG